AAAAAAAAAAAAAACCTTCCCCAAAAACCTCGTTCCTCTTCAAAAATAAAATAAAAAAAAAAAAACCCCCTTTTAAAAAAAAAAAAGGGGGGGGGGCCCCCCCCCCCACAAAAACCCCCGCATAGAAAAAAAAAAGGGGGAAAAGGGAAAAAAACCCAAAGGGAAAGGGAGGGGGGGGGGGGGGGGAGGGGGGGGGGGGGGGGGGGGGGGGGGGGGAGGGGGGGGAAGGGGGTGGCTAAAATTATTAAAAAGGAAAAAAAGAAAAGGGGGGGGGGGGGAGGAAAAAACGGATAAGGGGGGGGGGGGGGGGGGGTAAAGGGGGGAAAAAAAACCGCAGGGCACGGGGGGCCGGGGCGAAAAAAAAAAAAAAAAAAGGGGGGGAGGGGGAAAAAAAGGGAGAAAAGAAAAAAGGGAAAGGGGGGGAGGGGGGGGGGGGGGGGGGGGGGGGGGGGGGGAAAAGAAAAAAAAGAAAAAAAAAAAAAAAAAAAAAAAAAACCAAAAAAAAAACAAAACACACCCCCCGGGGGAAGGGGGGGGGGGGGGGGGGGGGGGGGGGGGGGGGGGGGGGGTGGGGGAGAGATAAGGGTAAAAAAAGCAGGGGGAGGATGGGAAAAAAAGGAAGGGGGGAAGGGGGGGGGGGGGCGCACAAAAAGGAAAACAACGCAAGGGGGAAGGAGGCCAACCCGGCCACCCGCACAGCAGGCGGGGGGGGGGGGGGGGGGGGGTGTGTAGTTTGTTGGGTAAGGGGGGGGTGGAGGAGAAAACAAGGGATGAGGGGGAGAGGGGGGGGGGGGGGGGGGGGGGGGGGGGGGTGGGGTGGGGGAGGGGCGGGGGGGGCGGTTGCCCGGTTGTTTTTTTACAAAAAAAAAAAATTTTTTTTTTTTAAAAAAACAACCCAACCCCCTCCCCCTCCCCACCCCCCCCACGCCCTTTTTTTGGATTTTTTTTTTTATTTTTTTTTTTTTTTTTTTTTTTTTTTTTTTTATTTTATTTATTTGATTTCGTGTGGTTTTTTTTAAAAAGAAAAAAAGCGGGGGGTCATCTTCTTTTTTTTTTTTTTTTTTTTAATTTTTTTTGTTTTTTTCATTTGGTCTTTATTTGGGGTTTTGGTTTTCTTTTTTTTCGGGGGGGGTGGGGTTGGGGTTATTTGGGGGGGTGTTGGTTGGGGTTCCTTTTGGCCGCGATAGGGGGGGTGGCCTTTTTTTTTTTTATTATTTATAAATTTATTTTTTTTGGTTGTTGTTTTTTGTTTTTTTGGTTTTTTTGTTTTTTTTTTTTTTTTTTTTTTTTTTTTTTTTTTTTTTTTGTTTATTATTTGATAGTCGCAATTCTAACAGATGGCGCTGTGTTGAAAGTACCAACGTTTCACATAAGCTACAATTTGATGGCATAACCATCAAAAAAGCATGGTGGTTCCTATGACTGATGTTCTCCTACCCTTTCCCTTGAATAGTTTACTACTATGTAATATAACAAAAACCTTAGCCACAGCAACGCTTGGCCGGTCTGCTAGTAAATATATGTATTTGTGTTTATTACCTATGTAGCTCAAGTAAGTTACACCGATAATCCTACAATTAAATTTCATTTAATATATACACACCTAGTCTTATAACTAATAATATAACAAACAGCTCTTGTGAACTCTGCCATTGTACAAACAAATAAGTCTACCTCGATAGAAATTTTATTTAATATATGTATTGCTCGCGTGAGTGGCGCCTCGCTCGTGGTACATCGAAAAGCTGAGACTTCCGCCTCAGGTTCTTGCTTGGAACCCGTAGACCCAGTCTCTTCATTATATCCAGATTATGCACCCGACCCGTAAGCAGTTTTGAGGCGTAGTTTGAGCTGGTCATAGCCCATTATAATGTCAGATAATTCATCATCATCAATGCCCAATGCCCAATGGGGCCTTAGCCTCCTCAAGTATATCACGCTATCGCAATATGTTTAGTGTTTCTTGCGTTCGAAACCCCTATCGTTTCAAGGCCCTTGAGAACTCCATTCCAACAACGCAGCCTCGGTCTACCTGGTTTTCCCTTGCCAGCTTGTAAGTTCAGTAACGACCTGGGGTTCTGACATCCTGAATTCATTTTGTGAATAGGACGATGTTGGCGTCAGATAATTATTATATCTTAAATGGCGATATTCAAGTTCAAACCAATTAAAACATTTAATCGCACCACAGGATACAGAAAAAATTGGAACCCTTATGTATTTGATTATACTCCATGAGTTTGTAGTCATTTCTTAAACCGAACAAAATAGTTTACACGTTTAAAAAACTCTGGTATCTTTTGGAAGGAAGAATATCAAATGGTTTTGTTATTCTTCCTTTATATTAAATATATATTATAATGATCAATGAATCTGTTTTTTTTTTCACTCTTTCCAATTTGGATCATAGCAGGAGTCGTAAGTTTCATTTGCAATCACAATGAATCGGGCTTTTTCGTATCAATTAATAATTAGGCTACGATGAATTTACCTAGCTAGCAAGTTATTGGTCAATAAATAAATTAATCAATAGGTGATTGAATGACTGGATGAAACCAGTTTCAGATGATTGTGATTTCCTCAGTAATAAAATTTGTTACGTTACGCAGACAATTTAACCCATCTTGAATTGTCTTCGATTTTTCTACAATTTAGAGACGATCACTCCAGCCCAGAAAGTGCTCGAATGTCGCAAAACGCGACCAGTGAATTCAGTTTTGAGTGCGATTCCGAGAGATTAAGATCGTAGAGATAAACGTGCGAATTGTGAAGACAAGTGATCGGGTGAACGTGTTCAGCGCGTTAGTTAAAGTGAACAGTGATAGTGTATTATGAGTTTATTAGTGTATTTTTATTGCAGTTAAATTCCTCGTTGATTGATTAATAACCCTTAAGAGATGTATCAGATTTTCAAGCTCGCTATTATCATAGAAAAATACGTAGCTTTTTTTTTATAGAACAGGAAATGACTCACATACGGAACTCAATGCAGAGTTCGCTAGTGCTCAGTTTGTCGGCCTTTCAAGAATGGTACGCTCTTTTCTTGAAGGACCATAACTGAATTTGCGTTTGCTTAGAATCATCAAATCACATACATAATGTTTTATTTACAACTGAAATAGGATTTGTCGATAAGAACGTGTTCTTAGATTACTTTATCGATGAATTAAGATCATCGATTCTCAAGTGGGGGGACCGACCCATGGGGGGCTGAGTTTGAAAAGGACCCCCTTTTAAAACAAACTCTGTCTAAACAACAAGTCTGTTGAAAAATAATAAATACAAACTACATATAGGTACAAAAGATTCGTTAAAAATAGCGCGCTATGTACATATTATTATAATTTTACAGTGACGGGGTGGCAAGACTGTTTTACTTAACTTTTTGGCTTTTTCGTGGGTCGCGACATAAAAATGGTTGAGTAACGATGCTTAAGATTATAAACTCCAGTGAAGATCACTTCCACACATTTGACTGATCTAAACAACTTCACAGTTCAAGTACAGTCATGGTCACGTCCATGCGTCGGTTGTCTGTGTCCCTACAATAAAGTGAGCTGATCGTTGGCTGGCCATGCATCGTACTCCTGAACGGGTGCTATTTGTGGTGACTGGTCGGACTTGGATCGGTGTATATACGGCTATGTATTATTATATTATGGCTAAGTTTATGTTAATTTTCTTCTACCTTAATTCAACTTGACATTGCGTGTTGTTCCCACACTGTAAGTGCATGCTTCTATTTTACCGTGCCTTGCTGATAGAGGTGAAAGAACATATTTTCTGATTTATTAATTAATTATTTTCATTCAATTAAATTATTAATTAACTGATTTAACATGTGATAGGGAGCATGATATTATAGTTGCAGGTTAAAAAAAATCTTGGCAATTTTGTTTTTCTTTTAAGAGTGACGGAGAATTTATCGCCAGTTTTTCTCATCGGTTCAACGGCCTTTGATTTAAGAACTGGCAGTAAATGTCAATTTACAGTTACCTATATGAATATGAATGAATGATTTTTATTTTGAACTTCTTAAAACGAAACACTCGTCTAAAAGCAAATTTAAAGTACATATACCTAGTTGAAAATGTAAATGTCTTATTAGCACTAGACGCATGCATACAACAACCATCTCCATAATACAATTGCACCATTCCGCGTAAGTGTTTAGAAAAATCGTTTTGAAAATTTGTTTTCGAGTTGCAAATCAAACGACGTAATTGCAAAAGGGTCTCTGAAGCCTGTATAGGACTAGAGAAAGTGTGTGCTTAGAGCACAAAGCATGCAGCACACCAATAAGGTGAAGTCGGGTTGAAACAATGATCGCGTCTTTCGGCATTACAAAGGGCGGCTTACTTTTCAGCTATAAAAAAATATTTGAAAGAAACAAAAAAAAATTTTTGTTAAAATAAAAACTTTCGACAATATAAAGGGCATATTTTAATGCCAAAACAAATATAAAGTCTCGATCTATGTAATATGTTATAATGTAATTATAAATAAATGAGAATATTATATAAGTACAAAAGAAACCACAAGGCACAAACTGTGGCTGACGGAAAACCACTGATACTTTTAAAATTTGTAACATCGCGGGAATTGATTGCGGGGCTTGCATTCTGAATGATCTGTTCGGCTATTGCTGTAAAAATTATTGTCTAAGTTACCAATCTTTATTATATTATAATGCATATACGTTAAAAGACTAATTCATGTGTGGACTACTCAGTATTATAATTCAAACACTAAAGACTTAAAGAGATGCGCTCAGCATTATTTCATTCTTATATTAATTATTCCCATAAATTATTTCCCTTTTTTTGGATAGTAATTTCAAAAATTTCTGAACTGGTAATATATAATATGACAATTGACTTCACTAAAAGCACGAGTTGAAACTTCAAGTAAGAAATCAAAAATGCAAAACGCATGTGAGCTGTGAATTGTGTTAAGTGATTATTATTGCTGCTAGATTAAGTTTCTGAAATTGTAGAGTCATGGCTGGCGTTAAAACTATTGAAGAAACTGAACAAGTGTTGGATAATGAGGAAGAAGAGGAAGTTGACGGTGTAGAGGAATCCGACACCAAAGACCCCGCTAAAAAGAAGAAAAAGAAAAAAAAGAAGAAGAAGACAGGTTAGGTTACAAATTTAAGTATATTACATCAAATAGAATAACAAATTCTATTTGATGCTCAAGATCTTCACAAGTACTATTCCGAGGTTTATCATGTAGTAGCTTTTGTCAATATAATTTAACCGATGATGATTTCGATTAAAAAAATGATTTCGAGTCGATTCGATATACTACATGTTTGATACGTTAACTCTTGCTTTCAGCTACACCTACTGAGGGAACAGGAGAAAATGGTACTGAAATAGTGTCTGAAAAAAACAATGTGGCGCCAGTTGAAAACAATGCTGGTGAAGGTGAAGACAAAAAGAAGAAAAAGAAAAATAAGAACAAAAATAAAAGTGGCATTAAATCACAAACTAGCCCACCTACAATTCCTATTGCTGAGCTCTTCCCTGATGGTAAGGTTTAATTATATTTAATTATAAATAAAAACTAATACTTATTTACAGGGTCACAATTTAATATGAAAAACAATGCTGCAAATGGTACGTAACATCAAGGATGTTTCAAACTTTTTGCTAATTTTGAAGTTATTAAGACTAAGAATTTTAATCTGTATTTTTTTATATTTTGAAAACTGGAATGAGTAGGAACTAAAGTTATAAATAAATATATTACGCTAGTCTGTTTTTTTATACAGACTTAGGTTACATGTCAAGTACAACTGGTTTAAGTATTACTTACTTAACTTAGGAAACTTCCCTGAGGGCCAGATAATGGACCACGGTCCAGCTGAAGGTATTGATGAGAGAACCGCTAAAGATAGATTCTCAAGTGAAGAGAAGAGAGCATTAGATAGGATGCATCAAGATATCTATCAAGAGATAAGACATGCTGCTGAAGCACATAGGCAGGTTTGTGCAACAAATAAAAATAATTAATGATCACTTTTTAATCTGGCGTTGATATTTTAAGTATTCCTTCCAGACAAAAGTTCATATGCTCTATCTATCTTGTGTGACTTCCATTAAAATTATTTAAAACTATAGCATAACCTATATTGGCTAACTTATTAAAAGTGACTGTCCTGTGTAGATGTGCTTTTCTGCCAGACCATATCAACTGCACCTTCTGTATCAAGTTATACATTTAATATGGGTTGGGAAAAGTATAATAAAGTCAAGTCAAATAAATAATTAGCTTATTCCAATGCATAAGCTGAATGCTTAATTAAAATAATTGCTTCCGTTCTACACCCTTGATTTGAGAACTGGCAGTAAATGTAAAATATGTAGACGCATTAATATGTATTTCCTTATCGACGAGTCATAAGTGTACATTTTGTTATCTATTTGATTAAATGATTTTTTACTTTACTTTACTTAAATATAGAACTCAAAATATCAAATTTAAATATTGTAGACTCGCAAGCACATGCGTGAATGGATTAAACCAGGTATGACTATGATTGAAATATGCGAAGAATTGGAATCATCTGCTCGACGTCTAATTGGTGAAGATGGGTTGAAGGCAGGGCTGGCTTTCCCTACTGGTTGTAGCCGTAACCACTGTGCTGCTCATTACACTCCTAACACTGGTAAGAATATATGTTCATTTACAGTTTTTAATCAAATAAATTTGCATATGTATTGTATAAATGTTATTTGTATTGTAAATTAAAACAATATACTACTACATATAAGCATAGTAAAGTATAGTAGTAATATAAATAAGACTAAATAATAATATCTGACTTTTGGAATATATTGTGAGGAAAAAATTAAGACATCTTTATATTTTATCGTATTCATTCAGTCTCAGACCATTGATTCTCAAGCTTCATTGATTAATTATTTTAGATCAATCATTGTAGAAATATAAGGTTCATCCAATGTTTTAATAATTAAACAACTAAAATTTAAAATAACCTCTAACATCTCTCCAACTTTAAAGTAACTTTCTGTTGTAGTCATTTAATAAATGTAGATAAGTTGAATTATTGTTTTGCATCTGTTCCATAAATAATTTCTCTTTGTACTATCTGAAGGTTCCATTATCAAGTGTTAATGAACTCCAAGGTAAGAATATGATAGTGTTTATATATGTATTTGTAATACAGGTGACACCACAGTATTAGAATATGATGATGTCGTCAAGATAGATTTTGGTACACACATCAATGGACGTATCATTGATTGCGCTTTCACGCTCCACTTCAACCCGCGTTATGATCCTTTGGTGAAGGGTGTTCAAGAGGCAACAGAGGCTGGTATTAAGGCTTCCGGAGTTGATGTGAGGTTGTGTGATGTTGGTGCTGCAGTACAAGAGGTAAATAAGTATACTTATTGTGTCACAATCAAACCTTTGAATTATTTATTTGTATTTCCAAAGAAATAATTTGTACTCTTACTTTTGTTTTCACTTTGCTCACCTTAGTGATATATTGTATTTGAAATGTTTTGCCATGATTGCATTTGTTTAATATGTTTGTAATAAACCGTAAACCAATTATTTGAATGCTTGTTCAGGTCATGGAGTCCCATGAAGTGGAAATAGATGGACAGATTTACCAGGTGAAGCCAATCCGTAACCTCAATGGTCACTCTATTGGACCATACCGTAAGCATGAAGTGCCTGTTTTTATGAAATTTTGTTTCTGTTCCTTATTTTTCAAAATAATTTTATCAATAGATAAATAAGGATCATGACTCATGGTTACTAGTAAAGTGAAGTCAATACCTAACCAATTTCAAAAACTTAAAGACTTAAAAAAGTCAATCAAGTTATGCACATAAAATGTTGAGTATATTAATCGAAATTGTAGTTATTTTTAATAAAATAGTCTAAGTAAATATTGTATTTCAATTCATTGTGGTGGTTAGAACACACCAGAGTCTTTTATAGAACAGGGGGCAAACGGGCAGGAGGCTCATGTGATGTTAAGTAATACCCCCGCCCATGGACATTCCATGAGGGCTCGCGAGTGCGTTGCCGGCCTTTTAAGAATTGGTACGCTGTTCTGTGTTTGCGTGTTGTTCCCACGAGAATGTAAGTGCGTGCTCCTATTTCACCATGCCTCCTGCTGATAGAGGACAACTCTGTTTTTAATTTATGTTATTATTATTAATTACTTAAGATGTCATATGGAACATAGTTTTATGGTTGCAGCTCCTTACAAACGTTGTGTAAAAAAAAAACATGGCGATTAAAAAGAGTGGCGGAGAGTTTATTGCCAGTTCTTCTCTTCCGTTCTACGCCCTTGATTTGAGAACTGGCACTAAATGTAAAATTAGAAGCATTAATATTATGTATTTCTTAACTGACAAGTCATAAGTGTACAATGTGTTACCTATATGATTAAATGATTTTTGAATTTTCTTGAAGGATGGACCCTAAGTCTAATTGGTTCGGAAATACTTCAGAGCTCCTAAAGATCTCTGCACTAACATTCCTTTTTCTTCCTATAAATGTACTTTTTTATTTGTTCTCAAAGTAGTGTTTGTACCAGACACATTCTATATTAATTAAATTTTTTAGGCATTCATGCGGGTAAAACAGTGCCCATAGTAAAGGGAGGTGAAACAACGCGTATGGAGGAAAACGAGTTCTACGCGATCGAGACGTTTGGCTCCACGGGCCGTGGTCAAGTACACGATGACATGGACTGTTCACATTATATGAAGAACTTTGACCAGCAATATGTGCCTTTACGGTATGTCATTTTTATTTAAACTTTTTTTTCTACAGAAAGTGTCACCAGTTATTTCTAAACTTTGGGTTTGATTTTGATTGTTTCTAAATAATGCTTAGATTTTGCTTTGCCAAATTACAAAGTTTTGAGTTATTCTAGTGCTATAATTTTTTAGGCGAAATTTTAATCATATTTGGACATTATAATATATTTTATGACAAAGTTGATTGTGAATGCCTATGCATATATATTTTGTATTATATTGCATATATATATATAATTAAATTTACAGCCTTCAATCATCGAAACAACTACTGAACTTGATAAACAAGAATTTCAGTACGTTAGCGTTCTGCAAAAGGTGGTTAGAACGCGCAGGGGCCACTCGCTATGCTATGGCTCTGAAGGACTTGTGCGATAAGGGCGTTGTAGACGCCTATCCGCCCCTTTGCGACATAAAGGGCTGTTACACGGCCCAGTTTGAGCATACAATTCTCCTAAGACCAACTTGCAAGGAAGTTGTATCGCGTGGAGACGATTATTAGATTCGTATTTTTAAATGTTGCAATTAAATGAACAAATCGTAATTTTTTGCCTTATTTTAAGAGTTTTTGTGAAAACCGCGGTGAGGCGCGTATTTTCAAACGTCAAATCGAGTTTCAAAATGTAAATTGTTTTCTTGTGGCTTTACATAGTTTGGTGTGATCATTTGTTGAGAACTGTCAAAAATGTCTAGAAATTTCATTTTAATTAACGTTTTTAAATACTCCAGGACGTCTCTCGTCTTGTGAATGCGAAATGTCAAACTTCAAAAATGATATCCATTGAAACTAGATTGGAGCGGTTTTCATTTGAAATAACGAAAAATGTGTCAAGTTTTTTTTCAAGTTTATTACAAATAAAAACTACTTATCTTAATAACTTTTATATGTCGAATAACATTGCTTTTGTGTGCTTATATAAGAATATAATTAGATATATTCATCACAGTGTCATTTAAACGCCTCGAATACATATTGGGAAAAAGTTTAACTAATTTGTAAGATTTTGTAAACATTTTTACATTAAATGTTCTTCCTACAATTTTCCATTACATTTTGGAATTCTTTTTTCAAAAATTCAATTTAAAATATAAGCCCAAGGCTTACTCTTATATTCTTAAAAAATCAATCATTTGCATTCCTGAACTGAAATACTCTGTCTTTTTCTGTCAAATTGTGTTTACGTTGTGATGAAAAGAGATAGATAAGTATTTTCGTTGAAGGGTGCGACTTCGATTAGACTGATTTTTTACGAATGAAGTTACTTTAGTATCAACTTATAGCTACTTAATATGTATGGGTTTATAGGTTTGACTGATATCTATAAAAACTAACCTTAATTAAAGTTATGTATTTATATTGTGTTTTATTTAATACTCTTTGAAACTTTGATAGCGTGAAGGCGTCTATCTCAACCATATTTAGCATATACATTAAGGACCTAGAAAAAGGGATCTCTCAGCAAACAGACTTGTTCATTGTTCCAACTAGAAACAATTGTTTACATTCAACTCCAGCGTCGGTATGAACTCTATTAGAACTTATAGAATACCGCCAGAACTTACCTGATAATTTACATAGGTAAAATGACATGAATTTAAACAGTGAAATCGGATTTTGTATTCAATTGTTTATTTAAAAATTCTTTTTAATCATGGATACGAATCATCTTCAATGATGTCATCGTTGATGCTGGTACTTATCGGTTAAAAGATATATGCATTTAATGTCTCTGAATTATTAATGCAACCCAATTTAACTGACTTCAAAAAAAGAGGTTTAATTTTAGCTAAATTTAGGGTCTGTTTCACAATTTACGGATAAGTTCCAAATTAGCTATTTATCACTTATTGGTAGGATAAACACTATTGTTGCGTTTCACGACTGTCAGATAGCGCTATTCGTCACATAAAGTCCATCATAAGTTATGAGTCCGATGAAGTGGCAAATAGCACAATTTATCTTCCAAATAATTTACACTTGGAAGTTTTGTGACTCATTTATAATTTCTCAAAACTAATATTAGGTAAACACCAACTCAGGAAATCTAAAGTTTCGTCAAATAAGGTTCAGTAGTTTTTGCATTCCACGCATTTTTTGGAGTTGAAATGTATTTGAGGTCAATTTTTTTTAATCGCTTTTATGTTAAACTGTGTTTATGTTACTGTTAATATTTAATCATAATAAAATAAATTGGAACCCACATAATCTCAATGTACATTACGCCTCTAAAAATAAAACGCCACATCGACTTATAATTTATTATCCACTTTTAGGAAAGCATACCCTAAAAATCTCAAATGTAAACGATTAACATGTAAAATTGGTAAAAAGTCTCGCCAATAACAATGGTTAATTGTAGAAATGTAAAAAAGTGTAAGGCGCGACTTTGTACATTTTCTCTGAAACTACACTGTCGACTTCATTTACGCGGACAGCAAGAAATAATTCGAAAAATTACACGCAACGAACGAAATGTTTATCGTCAGATAAAGCGACTATTTGTAATCACGTGTATTTTATCGAATATTTTTTGCTCGTGATATCAGTATAACAGTAACGTCTATAACTAGGCTTAATACAATCGTTTTAAAACTATTTACCCGCGTCGTGGCATGTCATCTCGGTCGATACGTAAATTTTGCCTTTGCCTAAAACTTAAAATATATGAAATAATACAAAATGAAATTATTATTAATAAAATGTATGGTTCCTGAATTCAAATGTCAATTCTATTTTGACACATTACATGCTATTAAAGACAATTAACATTCCAAAACAATTTCCTTTTACTACGCCAAATTAAATTTAACTATTTTTAATAATACATACCTCTTGTTAAATATTTAGGCGTACCAGGAATTTTCTAAAATTTTAAAAACAAGTTTGAATACAATTATATAAAAACAATAAAAAATGTTTCGGCCTTTGAACGTTTACTGACTAGAGTTACATGCTTCCTATTGAATACACTAAAATAATACAATCTTCAATACAATTTAATTAGCAAATAATATACAGCATAAATCTAGGTTAATTCTAATATTATATTTCAATTAACATACTCACTTTACAATCGCGATTCAAATGACTTAACGTCAAATATACTTAGAATTTTGTTTGCTAAGTTTGCATCATTAAATCAATCCAAGTCCTACATATTTTTTGTAATAAGAAATTCCAATTGCACACGTCCTATAAATTACCAACTAATATCGCTTATACCAAATCGGTAAAGTATCACAGAAATTAAATGTCCCTAGCTAAACTATCAAAACTATATTTCCATTCACTTGCTCGATCTCAACTGTCATTGTGTGAACTGTGAACGAAATGAGCGATCGTGTCGCTTGATTGTGATTGGTCTAGCTGTCATTGGTCCGTAGCGTGTATTAACCAATTAAAACCAATAGACATGACCAGACGTTTCGTTATTTAAATGTGCAGATGTTTAACGATTTTTCAAATGAAATATATTTAGAGTCATTAGGCTCCAAAATTCGATAAATAATTTATTATTATCTGTTATGCAATAGATCTTATTGTAGGTGTGATCCAGCAAACAAATAGAAATAATCTAATGTATGTCAAAAATGTCTAACTGAACATAAGCATTAGTTAACCTACGAAAATGGATCAGACGAAAGACAAAATTATACAAAAAAACAAGATTAGCAATCTGTAGAAATATGACTAATTGAAGACAAATCTATGAAAAAATTCTATAATGCCAAGCAAACTGTAAAATCCCAGATTTTAAGTGCAAAAATGGAACTGAAATAATAAAATCTTTTTAAAACTGCATTTTAGACATACTGAAAACTTGTTCTAAATTATATCAACTGCAAACTTTATCAGAAAATTAATCAGAAAGATAACATCCCGCAAAATATAAAAAGTCAATAAACTGTGGAAGACAAAATAATCGGAGATAATAATGTTAAAGATAAAAAAGCCCATGTTACAAACTGTGACAAAACCCAAATCTAGTTTTGAAATCTTCAAATTAATGTCTCGTTTTCTGCGCCGTTTGATGATTCACAATACTAGATCTCGAATTTTTACATCTCAGATATTACCAATATGGGCCCGAAATACCAATTTTTGTACTAAATTTAATGTTGTAGATTTTCTCCATCTCCATTGGTCACAATGTCCGTTTGAGGCCACTTGTAGATTGTTTGCAAGGGGACGTGGAGTAACTCGATGATATGCCGATAATTAGGTTCTTAAAAAATCATAAATATATATAATATTGTGTCCAAACGAAATGAAATAACACCGAAATTACTTTTTTATACATAAGCAAAGAAAATTTGACCTAAATCCAAGCATTTGAGGAAATCCTGTTGCAAATTTTGTTATCGTTTAGTGTACTCACTGATAATTTTTCCTGTTGTCATTTTATAAAGATTGTTTATGTCAAATATTCCTTCAGAAATAATTCTTATAATTAAAAAAAGCCAAAAAGACCTAATGAAACTACTAATCACCAATTCTAAAATCTAATTAAATGACACATTTCCGAGTGACAGAGAGCAGTTACAATAACAGTGTGAGAATCAGAACAACGTGCCGGTTGCTACGGGCTCCCATCGTATGCATGTCCTGTTTACGTATAATTTATAACTCTCGGCGCGTACGTTGGCCTAGACAATGGGCTGTGGCCGACTTATAAAAGCAAAAGCAATAATTGAACCACAACTCTTATATAGATAAGAAGAGATAACTCTTTTACAGAAAAAAAGAATCAATTTTCACCATATACTAATGTAGCAATTAATTGATGTTTGATAACATAAATTTTTTTTTAATTTAATAAATAATCTTGCCTTAATTAATGTGCATTGTTCGGTATGCACTTTTATATAAACATTGTCTAATAATAATAAACTTTAATCATAACAAAATATAGCTGTCACAAAATTGATCTGACTCTAGTTCCCATACTAGCCATAGGGAGCCCCTGTTCTACAAATTGTATTTATTATTAATTTAATTAAAGTTCTGGTCTGTGAAAAAGGTTTATGTCTTATGTCAAATACTGAAATAAGAAATCTACTTCTATGAATTTAAATTATTAAATGCTGTAATATGTACCTTGCGCAGCAATATAATAATATATTGTCAGAGATTTAAATAATTAGCAACAATAGAATCTTGTAGAAACAAAATTGAACATACCATTTTCAGGGTTGATAAATCCCCGTCTAATGAGAAAGTCCAACAACACAGGTGCACTAGTGGTTTTAAACTGAGTTGTTAAAGCCCTTTGTACACACTCTTCAGCTGTCAACAATTCAAAGGTTTCAACTTCCCCATCAGCATTTTCAGGCTTAAAGTCTTGCGGAAGTTCCAGGTCATATACATACTCTGTATTTGGAAACAAACCTCTCTCACTCTCAAAGTAAAAGCTGAAATAGTATATTTTTATTTTATTAAGCTCACTCCTGCCACACTCAACTAAATGTACAATGTAATTTGAATTAGAAAAAGACTACAACATATTGTGTCATTATCTATGGCTACAAGACCGCCTGACCAATTTTATAAAATTGTTTATTTATATTTTATAGGTATGAGTATCGGTTGTATATTTTATACCTTTAGGTGTCTACAGAAAAATATACCTTTCCAACCTAGAATTTGTATAGAATAACTAAGTAAACATTGCTGTAATGGCATTCCAATCCAGTTTTAAAAACGCATAAAGTATTGAAATTATCTCATTAGTTGGTGTTTGATACCCAAGAGTTTAAGCCAGTTGTAGACAGTCACTTCAGCATTTAAAAAGCAATAATTTTATCATGTATTATTATTTAATCCTTGTTAATCCGGGAATTATGCACATTTGTTTATAATACTTAGACCACAACAAGAATAAGACAATGAGTTGACACTAAATGATTAGGCATTTTTTAAATTCCATAACAAACTAAAATATTTGACACATAATTCAAGATAACATTATCAACATACCTGACACAACCAGCTGGAACTAGTTTTTTTGCTAAATCACCAATTACCGAAGCTTCTTCAGCTACTTCCTTGATAGCAGTCTCCATTATACCATAACCAACTGCTAATCCACCACTCACAAAGCAGTCCCATTTGCCTACACAATAAGTTATATAAACAATAGGTTCAAAATATAATTTATGTAGTATATTACTATTATGAGGTAGAAGATAATTGATTTCTGCTATTTTTAAATTTACTAAATTAGTATATAATTCAAATAAAGTAAAGTAGATTGAACCCAAACTGAATTTTACTATACACTAAAATTCCACTTTCAATAATTTCATATTTCATTAATGGATTATGGCAAATTATTTAATATTATATCACCTGATCCATTCTTGGAAATAAATTGTGTCTAATCAAAAAGACATACCTGGCCAAGTTTGTTTGGTAAAACTTCGCTGTTGAAGCCAAATACATAATCCTTTTATGGGGTGGAAAAGGTATCCATTTATGCTAACACCATAATTCCTAATGCCAAAAAGACATATGGCGCTTCTGTCCATCTCCATAAGACTTTCGTGGTAGAATGGAGTGCTCACTTCAAAACACTGAGGACAAAAAATCACAATTGCTAGAGACAGAACAGAGCTCTAGGTTTTAATAAATACATACATGAAATGTTTATGAAAAATATATTTTTCAACATTTATATTAATTAATATAATGGCTTAAAAAGGATGAAGATATTTTTCTCACACCATTTTTGGCAACATTAATAACATTTTTTTAATTCTTCATAATTAGAAAATATTCTTACCTCATCTCTCCAACCCTTAAGGGCACATATTTCACCTTCCTTCTTTAAAGATTGTAACACCGCCGCAATCCTTGACGATCGTTCTTTATAATCCCTAAACGCCGGGTTTAATTCTACATACTTCCCAGTAACTCGAAAAACCTTAAATGTAACATAGTATACATTAACACTACATATACTGAGCAAATGCTTAAAAAGTATATCTTTGCACTTTCTGTACGATATATCTTAATTTAGAATGAATTACCTCAGGAAATCTCTCCAAATGTTTTAATATATCAGGACGAATCAATCCAACTTGATGACCACCCACTAAGAATGGTTTACAAGTACCTTGATGTAGACCTATATCAAATAAAAATTAATTAATAAACTGGTGACAAAAACTTCTTAAATTAGCAAATAATACAAACCCGCTAAATAAAAACAATTAAACTTTCTTGCTAATTTTGCTATCTCAGAAATATTGCTAGCGATTGTAGAATTCATGTCTTTCATATTATTCTGTAAACCTTAAAAGAATGATTATAATGTACTATTAAAAAATCTAGTATTGGTTGATTGTTTCTAAAGTCTAGTTAGTGATGTTTTATTTGTGATTTTAATTAATATTCTATTTATTTTGAAAGACGAAGATGAAAAAGTAATGAAAAAGCTTCAACACAGTTTTAACTTAGAGCTCGTATTGACACATTAATGATATGACAATTGACATAAGGATAAGTACAGATAAGAATATTTTCAATTATCTCCATTTTCCATAATAATTGAGTATTGACGTCTTTTTTGCTTAGAAAGATAAATTATGTAGATTATAGTTTACTGTATCTGTGATATAGCAAGACTTTTGAGTTTTGACTCGAATCACCATACTTTTAGCTAAAACTTCAAAAATAAATTCTTGTTCTTTAATTAAAGTACGAATCATATTCTTTTTTTTGTTTATTAAACAGCTTTTATTTCTTTACAGACTAGAAAGATATTATTAATATTTTCAAATTAAAATCATCATTCATCAGTTTATTGTTATAGTCTAATATGATTTGAACGTCTAAGTTACTGTAAATTATAAAATTTTATAATTCTTGATTATAAACAATCTACAATAATGTCAGACAATTTTAGGATCTTAAGCGATATCTCGCCTGTTTTTCGACCATATATTCAAAGTATTTATCAGGATTTAAAGCTTGGTACCTATGTTTTACAATCAATGAATGAAACTGCCTTTCCCAATTTATTAACTATTAGAAGTTTCTAACATACAAATGCTTTTCAGGACTATGTAAGACAAAAATTGATTTAGAGAGAATATCTGGAGGTATAGATTCAGTTGAAACACAGCTTCGTTTAGTGCTCCCTTATTGTTCAAAGAAATTAAAATGGGAGGTTATATTTGATTCCTCAACCCCATGGTTTGCCCCAGATTTTAGGTTTGATGATGATAATTTTCTATCAAATGCTGATGAAGAATTGCTAAATAAGGAAGTTCCAAGTCTTTGTCAATGGAATTCAAGTGACCCAAAAGCTTTATGTGGAGCTATATCTGAACTTATTAATTTGTATAAAATTTACCAGGTAGGTCTTCTGTACTGGTTTTACACATTTAACTAAAATCTAGTTCTCTTTATTACTTTTTTCTTATATACAACAGGTTAGGAAGCTAAATGAAGATGATAGTTCTCGAGCAGCTTTTGAATACAGTGCTTTATTAGGCAATGCATTAACTACTGAAGAAGATGTGGAAGTATGGGTGGGTGCACACATTGTAGAGTTTCTAATCAAACTAAAAGTTAATACAACAAAGTTACCTGAATTATTCAATGAAAGGTTGGTTGACCTTATTTCATGTTTATTATTTTTGCTATTAAGAATTTATGGTTAAATTCAGGGTTGTGAACTTGGGTTCACTGCTGTATGACTCCTGTATGTCAAAAATTAATTGTAATTGATATAATTAGCACTAAGTCTCGACTCTAAATCTTACCCTTATAAATAGTAATGCAATAAGATTTAAATGTAATGTAGTTAAATGTCATTACATTATATTAAAACTTCATAATTACTATAAAATTTTCAGCTTAGACATAAATCCTGGTATAGATACAGCACTACTACTAGTAAGATATCCAAACTCTACAAATGCGGAACTGATTCTTTCACCCTTTCTGTCTAAAGTTCTTGGAAACATTACATTACCCCTGTAAGTATTCTATTAAATATATATATTTAATAAAGTATTTATTATATAATTTCTCCAACATCTTTTTAGGATGCATCAAAGCGGAGTGCTTATGGATTATGTACCAATGGTCACCAATCTTTTAAATAATAAGGTAATTACATCAAATTATTTATTCCAGTACCTGTGCATTTGCTCACAAGGTGAAATAAAACATTTTGTGAATTATAAGATGCATTGTATCAGACTAGGCAATTCTAGATGAAATAATTGAGAAGAACACAATTAAAAATATTATTTTACAATTATACAGATTCAGGATATAATAAACAATGACAGAGTTAAACGTGAATTGTTAGCTCAACTAATAATTAAGTATGAAGGTGCAATATTAGAGCATGATGGGACAAGTGCGGCATTGCTGTTTCAAACAAATGATTTTCATTGGATACTGCAGATTGATATTGGTATTTTATTTTCATTTCATTTAATTATATAAGCATAGATAAAAATAATATAACTATGCTAACTGATTGTCCAGAAATGTGTCAAAGTAACTCGCCTAAGTCATCAATGAGTTTTTACCATAAATAAAGCAGTATTGGTAATTAAAGAATTCTAGTAACTCCAACAATCTTTTATGAGCTTACATTTTTAATCACAAAACATTATTTTCAAAACAAAACCACTTAAATAGATGGTACAAAACCAATGTCATTTTACCAAGAGGAGCTTGAGCTCAACACTCATGAATTCTGAACAAGTATTTGTTTTTAACATGCTGTGAACTGAAGCTAGTTCATACTATATTTCTTCCATATTTCTCAATACTTCAATATTTCTTATTGGAGATATTTTTGGAAAAATATGGTTATTATTTACAGATGCAAATTTTCCAGAAAAGCCTCCAGTTTTAACACTCCGCTCTGTATATCACAGCTCAAAAGGAAAGCCAAAATTTAAAGTTTTGTCAAATTGTCCACACAATAACTTTGAAGCATACATCGAACAGCAAGTTGAAATATTTAAGAATGAATGTAAAGGAGTAACTGCAAGCCATCCTGTTGGTATTATTGATAATTAAATTTATGATATTTATACTTTATTTAAATCCTTGAAGCAATCTTAATAAAAGCCACAATTTTTTTTTATGTGTTTATGAAAATTTTTTAGTTTTGGAAAAAAATATAAATGCTACAAATTACAGTTATAATACTACTTAACCATGCATGGTAAAGTAGCACTAAAAAACATTGAATAAAACAACAATCAAACTTTCAAAAATTTTATTTATGGAAAACTTTTAACACTTTCCAAAATTTAGGGTAACTCGTAAGATGAATCTACAAAATCACTACCTAACTTCCAGTTTTTTAATTAACAACACTATGAAGGGCATAAAAATGTTGTAGTTGGCTAATTTTTGCAATAATTGTGGCATTTAAATTTTAAACAAATCTTTACTCAATATAATCTTACTGATCAATACATACATGTCAACTATTTGATAATGGTAAATGGTAATTTTTTAAAGGTAGGTGAAGTCATAGAGAAGCAATAAATTAAAATCACAAAGAGTCACTGCAGTGACAATTTTATGTCGAATGAACAACTCCACATTTTCAACTTTTACCAGTTAACAATGATTATTAATGTGTTGGGATGAACATAATACTTTAAGCTAATAATTGTTAATTAGACGGATTTGAATTAAGTCCCAAACATATTATGGATTACAATAATTTAAGGTTCAATTAGTTAATTTAGGATTTTCTTTATTTCCCAATAACTCAAAGCGGTATCTCATATACATAACCTTCATCCTATCCCACACATTCTCAAAAGAATCCATTGCTGGCCTCACATCTAACAGGGCAAACTGATACTTATTATCTACTTCTCCACCATCATAATAATCAATAATGTATCGAACATCTTTTCCACATCTGTCTACAATCCAATCATGACGATCAAAAGGCAATTCATAGCTGTAAATAAATGACATTGACTTTATCATATCTATTATAGACATATAATCAATATTTTATTGCCATGAATAAAAAGTATAACTTACCCTAACAGTGATCTCATTTGAGCTCTAGGGCTATACTGAGTGGCTTTACCACCAAAGCTCTTAAGTCGTGGATGCCCACATTCTTTTGCATGTAATGCTTCCCATTTTAAAACTTCTTGCCAAGCCTAAAACAAACATGGGTGTTAATTAATGGAACAATTATGATGTTATTTAAGCCAAATTATTTAACTATTTAATTTTTATTACTTGCTCATTGTTGGCATTGTGTATTTTAATTATATCATCCATATCTTTTGGTTTTATGTCTTCATCTTTCCAGCGCCAACCTTTTCGTAGCATTGCATTCCAAAACATCTGTTGACTGGGATATACCCAAAATTCTGTGGAACCATCAGGCATGGCGCGAGGAATAGTAGATACTTGTCTTTGAGTTGGAAGTTGAAATGGTTGATCGGGAGCTGGCTGTTGGTTCGCTGGCGGCATCTTAAATATAACAAAATAAACAATTTTAAAATCAAAATGTGTTAAGTTAGGTAATTGTGTGTATTGTTATCAATGTTTTAAATTATCTCTGATGTGTGTATGTGTATTGTATATATTTGTATCATTTTTGTGATTACTATAATTGTTGGAGATTCGCGGAATTTTATAACTACATTCTATAGCACTATATCTAAATTCTAGTTTATGAATATAATTGTGTAATGTGGTGCAACTTCATCTATATGAAACATACCATGTTATATGGATTAATGCTGTTATCGTGTTGAACAGGACATTCCGATGGCCGTGCATCTGTGCTTTTGGGTTTTTCCGCCTTATTATGCATAGGGCATTCAGGTGGTGGATTTCCATCTTGAACGGGGGATGATATGTTCACCGCTTCTGCCGATACTTTATTTCCCATTTTGAATATACCTTACGTAAGGTTACAAGGTTACCTGAACATATTTCTGAAAGAAAAATATATTTTCTCCTATTATCAGATACAGTATCTAATACTTTAAATTACCTAATAAGATATTATATAATTAATAAATATTTAATAAACCTGCTATAAACACTTTTCAAATTCTCACATTTATGTAGTTAAAAATTTTAAGCGATAAGTATAGACGACTAGGGGCATGAAATTTGGATAGACAATAGAACATAGAATAAAAATACTTTGACAGCCGTCTCTTAAAATTTTAACTGAAACCACAGACTAAATATATCACTCAGCACTGTCAAGTTATAACAACACTAATAGGGATGTGACATTCTGCATAAAAAATCGATTTTTTCCTAATTTTTGAATTGATTTCAAAATAAACACCCTAAATATTTTATTTTTCATGGTTTTTTTTAGATTTTGATAAATGCTGAGTGTATTCCTTTTCTGTAGCACATTGCAGTATTTTTGTTGTCTTTTTAATTGTATGTAGTCTTGTGCTGCTGAATAAATTTATTTTACTTTTAAATTATAGTGTTCCATTAAAACTTGAGTTTTTCTAAAATTATCTGCTATTATCATCCTTTTGATGTTTTACAAAAAAAACATCAATGTATCGAGTATATTAATACATCTTCAAAGAATCGGATTCAATGTATCGCATTGTAAACATCGTTGTGTATCGAATATCCCTAATAGTTCGAGGTCCGGGTTATAAAAGACCAGACATAATGTCGGGAGGTGGCAGATAAAAAAACCGATTATGATTGATTTTCAATTATAAAAATAATCGATTATTTTAAAAATATAAAAATCGCGTAAAAAAATCGATTTTAATCGATTATTTTTTCACATCCCTAATCACTAATTATGTGCGTTTTCCAATTACAGCACTAGAGCGCATTATGCGGCATAATGCTCAACGTTGAATGTTCCAACTACAGCAACGCTTCGCACAATTGAGCACTCTCAAAAGTAATGCTCTCGCGTGCTTCTCGCAATCAATACCAACACAGTGAGGCCTCTTTTCCATTACACGGTTTCTCGCCGTGAAAATCTACGGTTAATTCGCCGCGTGTAGGCACGGTCGTCAGTGTGGTATGGATCACTATATGAGCTTGTCGACATGCCGGTGGCGCCAAGGCACGGCGCCGCGGCCGCGTGCGCCGTGACTGCCCCTCGCGCGCCGCGTCTACGCACGGCGTGATTTTCACCAGTGTTGTATGGCAGTCTATCGGGGTGTGTCGACGGTGCCGGACGTACCACGGATTCGTGACCCTTATATACGCTGTTTCGCGATTTTATTATAAAATGAACATAAATCAAAATTATTAATTACGTTGATTCAAGAAGGCCTTAATATGGGATAAGACCATCGACGATTATAAAAATAAGCGGCTTAAATATGATTCCTGGAAAGAAATATTTATTCATTTCCACCCACATTTGAAGATTTAAGTGGTGATGAGAAAAACAAGTTTGGTAAGTTACAGATATTTAATTATTAACTTTTTACTTATGCATAGTTGTTTTGATAGGAGAGGCGACCTTCGTTAGATACAAAATATTGTGCAAATCTGTTGCGAACTTCATTAGCCGCCAAACTTCCGCGAACTGCATTCGTGATAGGTAACTGGATTAGTTCCGATTCTGAATCAAGGGTGGACTCATTTTCACTCGCATTGTGAAACTGAAAGTTTTCCTGCTTATGTATAAAATTTTGCAAAACACAACATGTTTTCACAATATCAACTGCCAAATCGATGGAACATTCATTGGCCGGTGAAAAATTCGCCATTTATTGGATAAATGCCAACGCACATTCAACAAATCTTCGCGCTCTTGTGAGTCTGTAGTTAAATGTACGTTTTAATTGATCAAGCTGATGACCACCAAATGGACGAAGCAAGTGATAATGCAAAGCAAAGGCTTCGTCCGCAACGAACACATATGGCAAATCGTAGTCAATTCCAGGCAAACGTGTTGCATCGGGTAGATTTAATCCGTTGTTTGTTAAATTTTTTCCAAAATGGGGTCTCTTTAAACACCTGATCACTCCTTTCCGTAGGGCCAACGTCAACAAATATAAAGTTGTAATCGCTATCTACTACTGCCATCAAAACTATAGAAAAAAATTTTGTAATTTAAAAACATCGAGCCACTATCAATTGGCTTAATAAGTCTGATGTGTTTTCCATCGACCGCTCCTAAGCACAGCGGGAAGTTGGAAGATTCTTGAAATTTGCTTGCAATTGTAGCCAGTCTTCTTTAGATGGCATTTTCATATATTCTTTATACAGTTCTAACCAAATGTAGTGGCATACTTCACGTACGATGCAACTTATGGTTTTTATTCCAATTCTATAGCTGTAGTATAGGTCAGTAAAGGTATCTCCTGTTGCTAGATACCTGAAATATGAAACAAAACGGTTCAGGTTCAAATACTAAAACCCCATTTTAGGTCGGGGTCGATTCAGTTTAGGTCGGGGGTTTTCATAAATTTTGAATTTAATAATTATTATTTATTTATTTTCAGGGAAAATGGTGATGAAGAAGTGGACCAATATGAAAGATAGCTGGATAAAATATGACAAAAAAATTAATGAATGTAAGTCTGGTTCTTCAGCAAAAAAATAAGAAAATATATGTTCTATGATGAAATGATGTTCCTAAAAAAATGTTGAGCATCGCAAGACCGATTCTAACATGACTGAACATGTTCATTTCTAGCCTCAGTAATGAAAATTTTGATAGTGCAGTCCCGAATCAATCAACTCGGGATACACTGAACGGAGTGAGACGCAAAGGGCTAAAAAAAAAAAAAAAATGAACTAAGTGAAGTTGACATTAGGTTTATGAAGTTTATGGATTCAGCAGAACGAGATGAGAAAAAGAAAAGCCGTAGTATGAACTTATGGGAACGCTGATACAGTTGACAAGTTCAGTGATGAAAATATGAAGACTTTCAGTTTCAAGTAATTTCAATTTAAAAATTTCAACAAAGACAGTGTCTCGTTACCTACACAAGAAACCAATGGGATCAAGCCATCAAGATATTTAAGTGGTACAGATCCTCAAATGCGCAATCGTCAAATATGGATATTCTACAGCTCTAGATCGAGCTATGGAATAAGTCGTCCACAGACGTCTTCTCATGATTTTGGACCGGTTCTGGTTTAGAGCCAATCCACTACCGACCCGAATCACAATTATCTGTACATAGTGTAAATGCGGAAAGTATCTCGGCAGATTCTCAATTTCTATTGAAGACGAATCGATTTTAGTACCGCACTAGTAGCATTTTCAGCGTAGTGTATTTATTTACTTGTTCTTAAATTAATAATTATTAAAATTCAATACTGAATAATTTTGTTGTGTGCAATAAACAATTTTAAACTTTGTCATTAATTTGTACCTACTACCTCAGAGTTACAGCCAACTTCTGCGGGCATATACTCTCTCGCATAAAAGTATCTTGATGTTTTAGTTCCTGGGAAATTTTTGGAGCAAGTTGTCGAATTAGTTTTCTGCATTCTAAAATAATTGTAAAACTTGTCTTCATCTTCTCTCAATTGTTCTGACAAGTTGAAACGCGCCATATTCCTCCCTTTTTTTCTAAAATCGGATTATCCAAAACCACTTCCCTTTTTTTCTATTTTCTTTTTCCTATATATGTAATAAGCAAATAATCTTTCGTAAGAAAATTCAGACACACTCACACACCCGAGTAAAAACGCTACACCAGTACTACCATGTCTCCGCGGTGATTTTGCCGTCATGTACAACTGACTTTTCAACCGGGCCACACCGTACGTGACAACCGTGTAATGGAAAAGAGGCCTGACAGAAAATTGACCAGTGTTTTTCTTTAAGTTGGCATTTATCGAAATTTTCGTTAGTAAATATTATTTATTGTTGAAAAATTTTTAAGGCTTTCGTTTCGTCGTAGATTTTGAAAATAATTAAAGTTATTTCAATCTGCTAGAAAAAAAAATATTAGTATGGATGAAGGTATAAATAGTTACTTTTTTTATATTCCACATTTTAAATATGAATACAATTTCATTTTAATATTCGGATCTGTAAACAAATTTATTTTACAGGATTATACTTTTGTAAACATTGCAATGGTTTTGAAAAAGTATATTTTTAGAAATCATTTAAAAAAATTACTCAAAACGTAAATGATGTAAACTTCTTACATGAAACTAAATATTTTACTGTTATTTAAGCTTGTTAAAACCTTATATTCTTTAAAGGTTTTCTCTTATTTTAGTAAAAAAATGATAATGAAATAATTTGATTATTAAAATAAGCGTAAAAAGTTTTCAACCAATTATTATTGTTTACCACATTATTTTTACATTAATGAGGTTGCTAACTCATTCAGAACATTTTTTTTTTCAACACTGATTTAGCGCACTCTGCTGATGCATTTGAAAACTAATTCACGTTCCAATTAAGCTTCAGCATAATGCGGCATTGTGCGGCACTGAGTCGCATTATGCTCTGTAATTGGAAAACACACCGTATGTCCAAAGCACATGCCTCTAACAAAATACAAATGTTTTTAGGTTAATAACTATCAAATTCATTAAATCTTCTACTCATCTTTAGTAAATTTCCGAAAACGTAATTTTACTAAATGGTTCAACCACTTTTTTAGTCTGTTTTAATTTAGGTTATTTTCAATTTCAACTAGATTTAGAAACAAGCAGTAATACCTCTTTATTCTATATTAAATTCTAAAAACTAAATGCATACTAGTTACTTTTACATCTCTAATTTACTTCTTTTTTAAGTATTTTAAATACTTTTTAGCATTAAAGTTATCTTCTATAGTTTCAGCAATTTTCACTTTTTTCTTTGGTTTCCTTCTGTCTAATCTGATCTTCTTTTCCTCATCTGATAATAATGATAAATCTAAAGGTAACTGAAAAAAAAACAGATAAAAGTTAAGTAGTACTAGGTGATTAGTGACTTCCTTAATTCCTTTGAAAACTGAGGGCCGGAGTAAAATAATATTTTGATTCTACTAATAAAATAATAGATGTAAACATTTATTAAGAAAAAACAATTTAATTACATGACTTACTAATCGGAAAAGTAATGAGTCGGTATTGTTGACTTGTAAAATTATCAATGAATCAGATATAGAAAAGTGTCTTCCTCATGCCCAGGGTTTTAAAAATACTGAATACTTACTTTAATGATTTTTCGAGGTTCATGATATCTGATATTAATAGATGCTCCATTGGGTAGTACAACTTTGGTAGGGTACATTCTAGTATATATTTCTCGGTGTATTTTTGTTACACTTGCCACAGTATTGTTCAAATATCTTTTGCAGCATAGTTGAACGAGTAACGATTTACTGTTTGCAAAATAATTCATAAACATTGTGTACTGAAAAAATAGAATCAGAAATGATTACTTGGTATTATCACTTATATTAAGAAAGAAACAGTACTTATTACACATGATTGAAATACCTATTTTAGAAATTGTTGTATTTTAACCTAGTGGATAAACTATATAATTTAATTTTCATGTGGGAAAAAATATTTAGCGACACAGCACAGGCTAGGAAGTAGCATTTCTACCACAGATCTCTGATATTATTATTGTTGTATTTTTGTTCGTATGTCACGTTCACGTATAACATCAACATAGAATACATAAAAATTATGTCTTCTGACAATTGACATCAGCCGGCTGTAATAATATTCTGTTTTGAATCTTTGATTGTTTTTGTGCTTTCCGTCTCGTCCGCGTCGGCACTCAAGATCACAATAATTTAAAATTTAGTGTAACAAAGTATCTATGAAACTTTATAAATTTTATTATTATTTATGGTGGAATCTGTAATAAAAACAAAATAATTTATTAATTAATAAACAAAATATTGTTTTATATTTTATAGATACAAACAGTGATGCTCTAGTTAAGAGCCCCGCCTATAATTATTTGCGTTGGCGTATGGCTAACGAGAATCTCTTGGGTTAAACTTATAAGTTTGTTTCGACAAACTATTATCGTATATGCACGACTGTCCATAAATTTAGATTAACAATGGGGTGTGCTCAAAGTGAAATAGCTCCTCAAAATGAACAACCAAAAAAGGGTTGCACTGATGTGTTATGGCTTGTTATTTATGTCATTTTTTGGATACTAATGGTAAGAATTCTCATTGGTCTTCGTAACATCCAAAGTATTTGTAAAGTTTTATAATTTAATTGTTTTTAGATTATTGTTGCTGCAATTGCCTTTGTGTATGGAAATCCACAACGCCTTATAAATGGGTATGATTCATTTGGAAATACTTGTGGAGTGGCGAATAATAAGAAATTAATAAATTTTCCACTTGCGGGCATAACCACTGTTGATAAGCCTTACTTGTTTTTTATGGATGTTAAAGAGTTGCGTAAATCTCTTAAGATTTGTGTTAAGAAATGTCCAAGCAAAAAGATGGAAACTTTTACAGATATACAAACTTTTTACAAAGAAACTGGATCAAGTTTATGTAGATATGATATTAATTTGAACACAACAACTAACAATCAAGGTTTAAACAATTACATAGGCCCTTGCCCTGTGTTACCAGTTTATGAATCATTTCCACTTCTTAACCGATGTTTTCCAAAGACAGCTAAAGAAGTAGCTCAAAAGGTTTTTACAGATTTTTATGACTTACTCAATAGTTGGGACACAATTGAGCAAATGCTGTCTGATTTATACAATTCATGGAAAGAAATGATAATTTGTGTTATTATAGCTTTTAGTAAGTATCAACACTTTGCAATAAAAAATTATAGACTGCCTGTTTGTTTTAATAGTAGAAAACATATTTTTATTATATTAAGTTTACAAATAATACATTTTTAAAATTTTTATTTATAAGGATACAGTTTATTTTTTAAATAATATTTTAATACAATATATTTTATTTCAGTATTTTCCTTAATAATGGTCTCAATACTGCATTTATTGGCGACACTGGTATCTTGGATATTTATGATTGTTGTGTCTATAGTAAGCGTAGCAGGAACAGTATTATTGTGGTACACCTATCATGAGCTTAGAACAAAACAGAGGGATTTCTCTGATAGTACTGCATTTTTGGCGGTAAGGCTTTTCAGAATATGTAATATTTTAAGGGTTATTTTATCACTATACTTTTGTTGTTTTATAGGAATCTTTCAAGAATGAAAAGGCATTTCTATGGTATTCAATTATTGCAACAATTATAACAGTGAGTATATTTATAGATATTAAAATTTTAGCAGTTGGTTTTGGCAAAGAATTAAATTGAAATGCCGAGAAGTTTTAATAATTTACCTTATTTTTTTTTGTGTTCTTGTTCATCTGCAATCGGCTATCAGCCATAATCAGATATTTTCTGAGGTTAATTTTGGTTGGGTGCGATTCCATTGAAAGGCACCGTAAGTGTTGGTAGAAACTGGATTTTTATTGTAGGTCAGTTTCTCTGGTCTAGGTCTAGTATTTGCCATCTTTTAGGCGAGTTACATCATCTCCTGGGGTTAGCAGATTCTTAGCCAGTTCATTTGTATGTTTGGTTAACCTTTCCCTGTATCTTCTACTGTTTTTGCGGATTACTTCCTTTACGGTTGGCATCTCCAGATATTCGTGTATTTCCGTGTTTCTCACAAACCAGTGTGCACATGAAATAGTTCTCAGTGCAATGTTTTGAAATCTTTGGAGGATTTCGATGTTAGAATTGCTTGCACAGCCCCAGAGTTCTATTCCATATGTCCACACTGGTTGTATGATGGCCTTGTACACAAGCAATTTGTTACTCAGGGTCAGCCTAGATTGCGGGCCTAGAAGCCAGGATAGCTCTTTGAATTTCAAGGTGGCTTCTGTTTTCTTGGCTTTTATATGATTAGCCCAGGTCAATCTTCTGTCCAGATGTAGTCCGAGATATTTCACGCTGTTTTTGCTTGGTAACGGTTTGTCTTCTATATGCACAGGTGGACAGTCGCCCTTTCGCAGTGTAAATGTTACTTGTATTGATTTAGTTATGCTAGGCTTGATTCTCCACCTCTGCAGCCACACGTTCACCTTATTGAGCTGTTCCTGTAGTTTCAGTGAAGCGTTATTCGCGTTCACATCGCTTGCAAGGCATGCAGTGTCATCTGCGTATGTTGCTGTTACGACATTTTCTGTTTCAGGCAAGTCTGCCGTATATATTGAATAAAGGACTGGGCCAAGCACTGATCCTTGTGGAACTGAGGCAGTGATGTAATAGAGCCTTGAAAGTTCCTCCTCATACTTTACTTGGAATCTTCTTTGATCTAGATAAGATTTTAGGATCATATAGAATGAGTTTGGTAGGAGGGTTTTCAGCTTGTACAACAATCCTTTGTGCCAAACTCTATCGAATGCCTGCTGAATATCTATGAATACTGCTGAACAATATTCTTTTTTCTCTAGCGATTGTCTTATTTTGTGAACCACTCGGTGTACTTGTTCTACAGTAGCATGTTTTTCCCGGAAACCAAATTGGTGATCGGGTATAATTCTGTTTTGGTCCAGGACTGGTTTTAGTCTCCGCAGAAGAGTTTTTTCAAAAACCTTAGATATTGTTGGGAGAAGACTTATAGGCCTGTATGAGCTAGGTTCTGTTGGGGGGTTTCCCTGGCTTTACAATCATAATTATTTGTGATATCTTCCATAGCTTTGGGTAGTACTGTATTCTAAAAATGGCATTGAATAACATTGTTAAAAGTACTATTGCTTTTCTAGGTAGTTTTTTAAGGATTTCACCCGTTATTAGGTCGAAACCAGGAGCCTTTTTTGTTTTCCAGATAGCTTATTGTGCGCGTTAATTCTTGTGGAGTGACAAGTTTTAGCGGTAGTGATAACTGCTGGTCACTGTTGATCATTCTATCCACTTCCTCTTCAAACTCAGTCATGGATGATTGGTTTGGTTTGAAGACTTCGCTTAGGTGTCTAGCGAAAAGTTCAGCTTTTCACTGCCGCTCCTAGCCCACGGATCGTTCGTAGATATCCTTATAGGTGGTATATGGTTATGTGGTCTTTTAAAGTTCTTAGTTATTTTCCAGAGTGAGTAATTATCCTTCTTATGAGCCGAGAGTGTACAGAGTTTTTCTTGGAAGGTTGTGTTTTGATTTTCTTTAATTAACTCTTTTTAGTTCTCTAGATATTCTATTGAATTCCGACCTGTCTACATCTGATCTGCTGGTGTGTAATCGCCTTCTTTGTCTCCGTTTTTCTTCCAGTTTGTTGCGTATTTCCAGTGGTATGTTACCTAATTGATTGGAAGAGCTCAGTGTCGGGGTGGCACGCCACGCAGCTACTTGTATGAGATTCGTGATGTAGAATGTTGTCTCATCTATGTCTTCTTCTGTTTTGAGCCTAACCTTTAGTTCAACTTCATCTTCTAAGTATTCAGCAAATGCGTCCCAGTCTGTTTTATGATTATATAGCGCCAGTCTCTGTGCTCTATGTATAGCGGAAACGCTAAATGTTGCTATGATAGGGGTGTGGTCAGACCCACCATCAGACGATGATGCCACGTCAAAATACACATCAGACAGTCCCTTCACCACAAAAAAGTCCACTAGGTCGGGTATTCTGTTGACATCTGTTGGCCAATAAGTTAGTAAGGTTTACCTGTTCCCAGTGTAATAAGTTTGTGTTTATCGACACATTTTTTCAACTCACGTCCTTTGCTGTTTGTCAATCTTGATCCCCAATGAGTGTGTTTACAGTTCCAGTCCCCACCACTTATGTATCTGTTTCCCAAGCTTTGAAAATAGCGGTCAAACATGTGTTGTTTCGGTTTATGCTTTGGTGGACAATATACAGCGCTTACATTGATGGGGCCCATGCTTGCATTTATAGTGATGGTAGTGGCTTGCATCCAGTCTTCCCGAAACTCGCTATGGAGGTGGTGTCCGATGTTACTCTTTACAATTACTGCTGATCCTCCGTGTGATGTGGTATCGGGATGGTTAGTATAATATACGTCATAGTTGTCTATCTTAATATTCTTACTGTCATTTAGGTGGGTTTCAGATATTAAACCAATGTCGATTTTGTTATGTTTTAACATTATTTCTAATTCTTTTTTATTTGGCGTTAGGCCATTGATATTCCAGGTAGCGATACGTAACGACATCATTGTGGAAGCCTACTGATGATTGTCATGATGAGGTTCATCATTGTGCTGAGTTGTGAAATGAGTTGATCGATTCTTTCAGTCTGTTTCACTATAAGTGCTTCTAGACTGAATCTATTTTCTTGCCCGAGTTCTATTTTTTCTCAGGTATGTTCTTTTGTGACTCATGGTCAACGTGGTTTTCTGTATTTGTTCTCTGTGAATCTATATGGTCAACTTTGTCTTTCCTGTGTATCTGTCGTTCCGTTTGGTCTGTGTTATCTCTCGTGTATGATTTTTGTGTCTCTGTATGGTATGCTACAGATTTGGTTGAATTTTTGGGAGCTCCACTATAGGGTCCCAGGGATTCTTTTACGCTTGGTAGCCGATGTTTCGGTTGGGTAGTCTTGGAGTGATTATCAGGCTCAATGACTATCACATCCATGTCATTAGGGGGCTCATTATTTTCAGAGTTCTTAGTCCGCACTTCCAGAGTGGTTCTTGATTTTAGATATGGCTGAACCTTGTTTCCAATTTTCTTTCTTGCTAGGACTTCCCTATACACCTGGCATCCTTTGTAGCTAGCAGGGTGGCTTCCTGAGCATAGTCGCATACTGCTGGAGTGCTATCATTTATTGTGCACGTAGTAGTTTTATGTGCCCCAGCACACTTTACGCATCTGTAAGGCCTCATACAGTTATTTTTGCTGTGCCCATATTGTTGGCACCTTTTGCATTGTACCACTGTCATTTTTCTTATTGGGTCTTCTATCGTAACTTTCTGGTTGTATATGACTTTAATTTCTTTGACAAATTTATTATTTTCATGTGGAGCCACATTGACAAAAAATGTATTTAGTGGCTCTTTGGTTCCTTGTTTCCAGGCAGTAACTATTTCTCCTTGTACTTTGTTTCCAGTTTTTTCTACTGCTTCTATAATGGCATCTTTAGGTGTGCTGAAGTGAAGATGTTTAATAACAATCCTCATGCATTTTTGGTCTTTGCGTGTAAATGTGTGACCTATAAGCCCTTTACTTCTTATGTGCTCGATCAGAATCTTATATTTGTCAACCGTGTTAGACGAGATTATTAGCTGGTTTTTGGATACGATTTTATAGGTGTAATCATTCTTTTCAATAACTTCTTCGATGAGTTGGGTGAGTTTTTCAAGGTCATCAACACCATACAAAATTATTGGTGGTGGTTTAGGTGTTCTCTTGGCTGTAGCTTCTCCTAGTTCCACGTCTAACAAAGCAAAGCTGTTGTTTGTCTCTATATTCGATGAGGTATTTTGTTCAGGAGTATTTATTCCTCGGCGTTTGTTAATGATTGCCTCCCGTCGCTGTGTCTTTTTGGCGTGATGACTCCTTGAGTCTTTTTCTTCGGGAGACCGATTTCTTTTTTGATTTGGTACTCGTTGCCAGGGCACACTAGGTTTGTATGAATTTTGTTCCTGTGTAGGTGCCTGTTTAACAGGTATCGTATGTTCTTGTTGGACTTGGGAGACATCACTGAGCGAAGATGAACGAGTTCTATTAAATAGTGCAGGGTGAAAAAGCTGCTGAGTCAGAATTTTTTGCTTCTTTTCTGTGGTTGATTCCGCTTGGTGTGGCCCCCCCCCCCCAGAATACGAGGGGCCGCCTGGGTATTGCTTAGTGACGTCGTTGATTGACGAAGATTTAGGTGGTGTTCTTTGCATTATGTTCCCAACGAGTAGGGTCGAATAAACAGGTCGCTTCCAGGGTGACGCCCTTTTTCCCAGAAGAAGGCACAGTACGACAACGTTTGCCAGATTCGTTGAAGTTGGACGCTAGAGACTGAGTTATCCCATCAGCCATATACACCTCATGTAGGGGCATACACATACCTTGGCGCGTTTCCCACCGTAGTATAGGGGTAATTTATTATAGAGGTTTTCTTCCTCGCGGCCCAGATGATAAAGTCCAGACCCCCGGTCCCCGTGAGACATGACCACAGGTTTACGGTTTGAGGTGGCTCTTTCGAGTCACACTTGTTGCTTGATCGGTTTTGAGGCGCCGATGACTCGCCTTCGCCCGTCACAGTCAGCAGTACAGACCCCGAGGAGGATGTTATTGTGTGTAACCCGTTAACAGATCTGTACAGTATCCAGGGGAGGCGACTGGGACGCCTGTGAATCGGACTTTCGGGTGCGCGCAATATAGCCAAGCCACACACTCGCAAGGCGTACGCTAGCAAACACAGCATTTTTTAAGCATGCATCCAGCATCAATGCACACCACCGTGTACTTGACACCCTTTCCCCCCCTACCCTTTCCCCCCCAAAGAGAAGTTTTAATAATTTACCTTATTTTTAATTATATTTCAGTTTAGTCTTATTAACTTATGATTCTTTATTATTCACAGACAATGTGTTTAAGTAATTAGTGTAAATAAATAAAGTATATATTATTGTCATATATTGTGGTCAAGGTCTCAGCCCTTTGAACCGCTCATAACTATGCACAATCAGTTATGAGACACTGGATTAATTCAGATTGAAATTATGAACTTATTTTAATTATAGGTTATCCTGTTGCTTCTTGTTTGGGTGATGCGGTCTAGAGTATCATTCCTGGCAGCCCTGTTTAAGGAGACTGCTCACTGTCTTGGGTCCATACCAGCGCTCTTCCTTCAACCAATTATTACATTTTTCTTCCTTGTGCTGTTTTTTACATTTTGGTCATTTGTTGTTGTGAGTATGATTTATTATATTAGCCGTGTGGCATTAAAAGGTGGCTGAATTTGCTATTATAAGAAAACATTGAATACTGTACTAACATACTTAATATATTAAAATGTGTTTGTAGGTTTGTCTTGCTACTGCAAATTATCCAGGGATTCCATACAAAACGAACTTCTTTATCAATGGCTCAATATTGCCAGATCAAATTGACAATGCAGCTGTGCAGGCGCAAACTTATAATGAAAGTGCTAAATTGAAAAGTAAGCAATTTTATTACTTATTTTCTAAATTGAGAATATTTATTGAAGTTATACTTCTTTAGGCGCGTTATGAAAAATTGATGAGAGTGAAATTTTACGATGCGCGCGCACCGTGACACAAAATTAACAGAATGAAGTTGCCCACGGAAGATGCTACGGCATAATAATAGAATTTATGTCACACTTAATGTAAGAGAATAATAATAAATATTTATTTATTTAATTTTTCAAATGTAAACTGAACTTTATTGACTATAATGACTCCTTTTCCAGTCTTTGATTATTTAATTGTAATTAATTATTTGCATGCAATCAAAAACTATTTTTAATAATGCCAAAGAAGTATAACTTCTTACGCGCGTACATAAGTACACGCACCCTTGTGTTTTACGTAATTTACAAATAAAAATATCCGATTTTAAATGTTAACTGATATACTCTTGACTGCAAGCGTTACTTTTAGCCTCTGTTAAATCGGTGTTACCCTAACCTAGAAACTATATAAAATGTTAACAATGTATCTTTTGTTAGTCATAAAAACATTGTAATAGTTGACTCATTTACATAGAAGGTATTACGTATTACGTCATTCACCCCGATTGTTGAAACCAAGGCTGCTTTGTCAGTTTTTAATAATATAAGAAATATTTACATACAGAAAGACAACCGGCATGGCAGTTACTAATGATACAATACAAAATATTTAGATTTCATATTTAGCATCAAGATTACTGGACTATTATGACGTCCGTGTTGCCAACACCTATAGAATGTTCCCCCTAAACCAACTTCAAATGCCCGTAAATATCGATTAAAACCCCTAAAGTTTTTGTTGTACTCTCGATTTGAGAAATTTCCAAATATGCATCAAAAATACATTCATGTAGTATAAAATTTCTATTTTGGAGGTATTTTTAAATGTTGTTTAATTTACCCCTAAATTGTACCTAAAAAACCCCCTAAGAGATCTTTTTACCACGAAATTAGGAGGGGCCCAAACCCCCAAGTTGGCATCATCATTAGTTGCCAACGTACTACCTATACAACCAATGACGTTGGTATAGCACTGCACATTCTTTCCGCACAGACTTTAAGTATAACCATGTAACTTCCGAGAATGATAATGAGATTGGTGATTTCAAGCACTGTGGATATTGAACTAATCTGAAATTGCATGGTCAAATGACAAAATTTTACTTCGCATCGCAGTTATGTCCCTATTCGTGCCTATGATTGGTCATCATTCATTTCATATTGGAGGTCATTGGTCAGTCAAGATGCCTTAACAGTAGTGTATGTAGAAAGTCGAAAACTAAATTTGTATGAAAATTTCTCGACACAAACTGTCATTTTCAATTTTTCATACATACAAATTATTCCATCATTATCGGCTTTTAAAGAGTAATAGAGCTGTCACGGAAAAAGGAGCAGGATTTTTTGGCCTGTATCATGTTAAATATATCTATTAAATGCATCGATTTATTACGCATTATTTTAAGTGTTATTTTCTGTTATATTTATTTTTAATAGGTGAAGTAGCTGCTACCCCGATCATTGCACAGTCATCTTGCTTAAAGGTTTATTTTAATATATTTTCGTGTTCGTGGTAATCTCTTATTAGTAAATAGCAGTAGTTACAATGTAGTACATGGATAATGAAAGCCTATTCGACTTTTATAATAAGAGTTTTAAACTCTCTTGTCATATACAAAAAATATATGTCGGAGCAATGGCGGTGTTATCAACTGCCATTGTAATTATAATTTAATAACATCAAAGTCAAATTAGTTCAAAACTGTTAAATGGTTTAGTAGGCAGTGGTGTTAGTAACAGCCGACCGTTGCTTTTTTTTTTTTGGAGTTTATGGCCTGGTATCTAGACCTTTAGGCCAGCCGACCGTTGCTCCTACAATAATAATAAAGATAATGATATTACTACAGACTATCTATAACTTGGCGATTAAAATATTGGCGGAGTGTTAATTGCCAGTTCTTGTCTGTTCTACGCCCTTGATTTGAGAACTGGCAGTATGTAGAATTAGAAGCGTTTAATATGTATTTCTTGACGTTTATAAGTGTACGTTGTGTTACCTAAATGATGTGGATTTTTGGAGTTTACTCCTTAAGAAACGATTTGAGTTATAAGGCCCGGTACGGAAATTTTATGAGGAGTAAAATCGAGTGTAACACGAAAAGTTGAGGCGTTATGTAGAAAGAGACAAACATATAGAGTTTACTCCTTAAGAAACGATTTGAGTTATAAGGCCCGGTACGGAAATTTTATGAGGAGTAAAATCGAGTGTAACACGAAAAGTTGAGGCGTTATGTAGAAAGAGACAAACATATAGAGTTTACTCCTTAAGAAACGATTTGAGTTATAAGGCCCGGTACGGAAATGTTATGAGGAGTAAAATCAAGTGTAACACGAAAAGTTGAGGCGTTATGTAGAAAGAGACAAACATATATATCTGTAGGATTGAACGTGTAAAAGAATAAGATGGAATACATTACACAGACTTTTCTATTTTGAATTTACGTTTTGACAGCCACGTTACAACATTGTCATTCAGGTGTAAAAAATAAAAGTAGATTGTCTAGCGTGCCATAGAGTTTTGTCAATAGTAATGGTCAGTGAAATTAAAACTAAAAAGATTGTTCATTCTTATTCTTCTCTTACTATAAAGGTAACTTTGGTCACAGAAAGAAAATCCTATTTGGGCATAGATGATGTAGGTACGTTTTATTACTACTACAAACATTTATATTATAAAAACATATATTCTTACCACCTTTAGTATGAAAATATGGTCGACAGCCACAGAACATTATCGCCATTTTATCGTTCGTAAGGAGTAAACTCCAATCGTGCGTCGTAGCTGACACACACACACTTTTTTTTTTTTTAATCAAATAGTCTGCTAATTTGTAGATCTATTAATATTGGCAAATCAAATACACTACTTAACAGCTGTTTTTAACTAATTTGACTTGAATGTTTTTAATTAAATTATAATTACAATGGTAGCTGATATATTTGCTCCGACAAATAAATTTTTGGGTTTGACAGTTATCTCAATATATATAAGGTAAGTATTGGGAAATGTCATTGACTATTTAAATGAGTTACTACTAGCAGATATTTATAGACACTTTGCAATTCATGGAACTAATCTTTAACATGTATTATAATGAATATGTAGATTATGTAGTATTTTTTAATTTTAACAATAAAGCATACCGTTCCCTGAAAGGTTGTCAACATACCCGCTTGGTCGGCGGTTATTACTTTACTCAAAGTGACCCTGCTCATTTTCCTATCCCATACATTTTTTGGAGGTCCATAAACCCCTATAGAGCCTATAACAGACACAAATGTGCGTATGTCTGTTTCGTTTAACAATTTCTATAAATTTTCATGCGTACCAGACTCGTACTTGTGTAAGGGATAGTTGATCTAGTTCTTAGGGTAGGAAATTAAACACTCCAATGATGACTTGATTCACTATAATTCACTTCACTGATTTTTCGTAAACTGTATAACTTCTAACTTGAACAAAGGAATTGCTCGTGCGCATGTGTAACAGCGTCTTTTATAATCTAATCCCTACTCCGACCCGACCATCCCATTTCGGGCAGATGTTCGAGTCAATTCGTAACAATTCGTAAACAACCGAACGAGTCAAATGAGACATGCACATGCGTACTTGTAGCAAGATTCTTAAGAATATGTTTCATAAAAAAAAAAGGGTGCGTGTACTTATGTACGCGCGTAAGAAGTTATACTTCTTTGGCATTATTAAAAATAGTTTTTGATTGCATGCAAATAATTAATTACAATTAAATAATCAAAGACTGGAAAAGGAGTCATTAAAGTCAATAAAGTTCAGTTTACATTTGAAAAATTAATTAAATAAATATTTATTATTATTCTCTTACATTAAACAAATAAAACACTATTTATCTTTAAAACATTTTTATTTCATTATACTATTTATTTTTAAGTGACTAATGTCTTCATCAGAATTTCGGTTTGTAATTTTAAATTAATCATTACTTGGTTGTGCATCTACGAGGCTTCTCCAAAACTACTTGCTTTCTGCAACAAATAAGAGAATATTAATTTAAGCTCTGTCCATGCAAAACTTAAAATTTTTTATAATTCATATTATAAATTTTTTAACACATTTATATTAATATAATTATATAAATGTGTTAATAATATAATTTGTAGCACATGCTACAGACCTGGATAGCAACTTTATTTTATTCTATTTAGAGATAGAGATAATTTAAATATAATACCGGTGTCTTCCTTGTAGGTTTCTTTGGAGTTGTTTGGGGATTCTTGTTGTTCAGTTCGACATGATTTTCTTTTAACCTTTCTTTAATCCTACAAAATAATGAAATTGTTAAGTTATGTTGTCACTGTTGTGCACACCTTTGTTTGGCTTTTTTAGTATTCAAGTTATGTCAAAACTGATTTATTACCTTGTCATTGTTGGCTTTATTTGCTTTTGGGATATCAATTGTTTCCAAAATGATTTTATTTGTAATAACCTGAAATATATAAATAACATCTATTAATTTAAGTAGCATGGTGAGTGGTTCGCACTCAGGTATTAAGGTGTATTATACCCACTGTCCATTATAAGTGGGAATGGGCTCACTTCTGGCAGGACAGAGTTTCGGTACTACAAGTGCAACATGGATGTTTTGAGGTATTACAATATCTCTAACTACCCTGTAGGGGAATAAAGTAATGTTGTAAGCATATGCCTATGCTTGAAAGGTTGAACCTTGAACATCACCATACATCATATTTATAATTAACATTCCTACCTCGACACCATCACAATCAAATTCATTGAAATCTACTTCAAACCATTGTGTCTCGAGAAGGTGATGGTGGCTTTGTTCCACCTCCAGTTTTTGATGTTTCACGGCGATAAGATGACAACTCTTTTTTTGTATTCAATTTAGTGCACTTCCACTGATTCATCAATTGTTTTTTGTCTCTTGTCCTTATATTTGCTAGATTAAATCTGATGTTTTGATTAAATAATGTGGTCATTTTTTTGAGATGCAGGTACTTATTAAAATGTTTACTTCTCTGTTATATCGCTCCAAGTCTTCATTTTCTCCTTATTAGTATTCGTGCTTAAATCTTTGTTCTCAATTATTGATATATAGGGTCGTAGAATATTTCTAAAAAGTTGCTGTAACAAACGCAATAAACAAAAGCAATGAATAATGGTTCATGTTTCAGTTTTAATCAACAATAATACTCGATAATACATACGGATAGTTAACCTCAATTGTATTGAAGCACTCAGGAAGGTTAGCACAGTTTTTTTACAAATATTTTATATTATTTCACAAATATTTTGTATAATGAAAATAACTAGGTATATAATTATTAATTTTAAACAATAATTAAAACTCCTATATTTGTTTAAAAGGTAAATGTCATTGTCAGATGTCAATTGTCATGGTCATTCAAAATTCTTGTTAAGCTGCTAAGCTAGAATATGCGTGAAGTTAGCTTCACGCATATTCTATTTCTTTTTACTTGTAGTTTGTCTTATTCCCATCTCGCTCGCGCACGCTATATCACACTGCCAATTTTGTGTCATAGGTGCGCGCGCAATCGTAAAATTTCACTCTCATCAATTTTTCATAACGCGCCTAAAGAAGTACAACTTCAAAAATTTTTAGAATTTGATTAAATAAATTTTAAAAGCTAACATTTGTTTAATAATAATTATAATAATTTTATTCATCAGACAAATACAGTCTATTGATTGATTAGTAAGTTAGCAACAATAGTTTCTTAAGATCAATGTTAGTAGAATTAGTAAAAATAACAAAAAAGTATTAGGTACAAAGCCCTGCGGAGATGTCGGAGCAGTGTCGTAAATAGGGGCACTCCATTCTCTCGACTATCATCCGTAAGATGTTGTTTAAGCTATGGATATGCATATAGTATCAATAATGAGCTCACCCCACATACACCCTACATACCCTCACTTTTAAACAATCACACAGCACAGCCGAATTAGGTATTACGTATTTAACCATATTGCTTTTATCGTTTCGTTTGAATCTTTTTGTATATATTATGTATTTCATCTTTGGCCATATGTTTAGTATAATTGTTTTTTGTTATATGTAATCTATGTTAGCTGTAGGATTTCGAAATGTGGGTTAATATAGGTACTATTGATTGCTTTATCTGTTTCATTTACGTATAATTTGTTTATATTAGGCTATATTCTAGATCCAATAGAGTTCAATCCAATGTGGGTGAAGAGTATGTGGTGGATGTGCCTTATTTGCCTTGTATGGGGGAGCGAGTTCATCCTCGGCTGTCAACAGATGACCATCGCTGGTGCTGTCTCGCATTGGTATTTTAGGTAAGGTTTATTTAGGATGCTTTTCGGATGCCCGGAAGAAATTACACTTATATCGGCCAAATATTTTTTATCTTTGTCTATCCTAGAGTAAAACAGTCATAAATCAATGTTATTAAAATTTAAGTATAATTATCGGAAATTTAAAAAAAAATAATTTGCATAGAATACCAGCATTGTGGAACCAGCTGCCTACGGAGGTATTTTCGAGCCAATTCGTCTTAGGGTCCTTCAAGAATACGTACCAATTAAAAGGCCGGTAACTCGCGAGGCATCTGGAAATATGAGTGTTCATTGGAGGTGGTATGACTTAACACCAGGCAAGTTATCTGCCCGTTTACCCCCTGTTCTTTTAAAAAGAGAGTTCTAATTTCTTATAAGGGAGCGTTCAAGTATTACGTCACGCAATTTTTGGAGATTATTGACCCGCCCCCCCATGTAACGCGCCGTAACGTTTTTCTGTACCCAAGTATAGTAAAACGTTTCGTGACCACCTAGTGACTCTTTATACCTAAAAGTTACCATTATGTGGTGTAAAGTACTGGAAAGTCGAAAATAAAATTAACAATAACGCGTAATTCAATCCCCGACCTGCATCGTCACGTTTTACAAAAGGACCCCCCCAAAATCGTTACGTAATACTTGAACGCTCCCTAAATAATTACTTAGTATTTCATTGATCGACTTAATTCAAATGCCTTCCTCCCAAAAATCTCCGGCCCTGATCGCGAGGTATTTGGCAGAAATATCTCAATATTGTATTTGTTTTTCAGAGGCACGAACACGCACCCCTCACCAGTGATGTATTCGATTGGGAAGCTTTTGAAATATCACTTGGGTTCTGTGGCAAAGGGGTCCTTTCTGATTACATTGTTCAAGATACCGCGTTTGATTCTCACCTATTTACACGCTAAGTATGTAGTTTTTTATTGAAATAAGATTCACAAACTCAGAATCTCAAAATCCTCTTAAGGATCGGTCCGTTTTACAGACAGTTTTTGGGATATTCGGCATTTCTAGAGATGTTTACTATAAAGGAATGTTTGTGTTAGAACGTACGTGGATGTTGTAATATTTATTTATTTATTCACACTTCGTTGCATAAAAAAAATTATAAGGGATGCAACGGGCGGCATAAACAGAAATAATACTTGAGAAATCTCCGCGTTATATGGGGGACGGAAATCGCGTTATGGATGATTACTTTATAGGTTATTTACAGTGAAGTGTAACATTCTAATGTTATAATAATATTTCATATATAAATCAAATTTTCTGAAAAAAAAAATACATTTAAGCTCTAAGCAAATAAGAAATTTTATACATTTTAGTGTTTTTTTTTTAATGTTTAAAATCATATAAAGAACTTTATCGGTTATAATAAAACCGCTAATTAACCGTTTAATTATATTTTAGGTTATCTTCGAGAGCGGAAAAGGGTTCGGATTGTGCGAAATGTGGACTTAAATGCGGTATTTGTTGCTTCTATTGCTTGGAAAAATTTATACGCTATTTGAACCACAATGCCTATACAATTATTAGTATTGAGAGATGTCATTTCTGTAAAGCGGCTGCGAAGGTGAGTTTGTTGTTTATGGAAATTAAAAAAAAATTACTGGCCATAGATTCAGCAAAAAAAAATATATATATTCAATTATATAATTATTATAAACTTGTAGGCTTTCAGTACAATAGTAAACAATGCGCTACAAGTAGCGACAATAAACAGTGTGGGTGATTTCATATTATTCCTTGGAAAGTGCATCGTGACCGCATTGACTGGAATCATTGGGCTGTTGCTGCTCAAAAGGAATTCGGATTTGCATTTCTTCGCTGTTCCCACTTTGGTTATTTGCATTTTTTCTTTCTTCATCGCACACTGCATTTTGTCGCTTTACGAGGTAAGTTTATATAGAAAATAATATTGAAAAATTTAATGTTATTGAGTAATCCGTAATAGCATGGGTTAAAAGTATTATAGAATAAAATATCGTAAATAATAATTATTTATTAGGAAATTAATAGTAATAATATTGTTGTTCATACAACAGTTGTATAACAAAATGGTCACAGATTAGTTGAATAATATAAGTAATCCTATCACTGTCTTGGAGTTTATTCCGTCGTTGTTTTTGGTCGTAATATAATTAATGTTTAATTACTAAATGACAATTAACAAATTGACAGTTAATACAGTGACAGGCATGGTGCGCCGCCATCTTGCGTAGACAAGCGTTTTGGCGGGTTATTGAAATAATGAATGTTTGGTTTGAATTTTTAAAATAACCATGTGTATAGCTTAGGTTAGTTTAAAATAAATTAAATGGTTTTTAAAATATGTATTTCCAAATAGCCTTTTGTACAAATATCTAGTTCAATTTCAGATGGTAGTGGATTCTCTATTCCTCTGCGTGTGCGAGGACCGAAATATGAACGGCGATGACGGGAGATGGAAGAATTCTAGACTGGCAGAGTTGGGGGGACACAAGGCTGATACTGCCGAAATGGAGGATTTACAAAAGTACTGATTTGTGAGTTTATGCATGATTACTAACAATGTATACTAACACAGATTTATTTAGTTTGGAGCGTACTTTCACTACGTTATTAAAATGTTTCGTTATCCAGTCTTAAGTGATCTAACTTTTCAGTATATTTACTGCTCATATTTTGAAATGCCAAGAGTGGGATGAAAATTTACATAGTCCCTCATAAAATCAGTTGCAATCATATTGTGTTTACGCTGCGATGAAAAGAGACATATAACCTTATAACCAAAACCGAAAACATAAACGTTTTCATACAATGTTCATGATCGATATATTTGGTTAGAAAAGGTTAACCTACTAACAGTATCTATATTCCTGTTTAGAAAATCAATTAGTTTTTTGGAATAAAAACTTTTTATATTGTTTCAGGTAAATTTATGCAACTTGATATTGGGGCTTGATATTTAATTTAAAAAGAATCATTTAATCGCCATCTAAACGTGCCTTACACTGCTTTATCAATACTAAACATCATCTCCGGTTTTGAAACCAATTTTTTTCATCTGTCGATTGTCGATAGTGTTTGACAGATGCGAGTTAGTTTATAAGTTAAACTTGTCTTTGAATTCAAAGTTCACAGATAGTCTTCACATATACTCACAAAGTGACACAGACTCGGTGCCACTCTTCCATGGATGCTATATTATAGAGTAAGCGTGTATATTTTTTTTAATCAACAACATTTACTTATAGAGAAAACGCTTTCTAAATCGAAAAAAAAGAATCTCATTCGAAAAAAAAATTCGAAATCCAATATAAATCATACACCAGATTTATTTAAAAGAAATGCAATTTAAACATGAAATTATTTTTTATACATAATAAACTGTTGAAAATATTTTTGACACTGAATGCATAATCAAGTTTTAGTACAAACGAATATTTTTATTTTTTTACTCTTTTACGTAGTTTTTAATTTATACGTAAGTTATTAATTAAATCTTCCAAGTACACAAGTGAATAAGATTGTAGTTTTTTATAATCTATGTCGTATTTTATTTGTCATTTTCAATCTATTTTGTAAGTGAATTTTAAATGTTCTGTCGTGTTTGGGAGTCACGCTTTTTGCACTGAGAGGTTGATCAACCGTCCATTATTTTGACAATTTGCTCATCTTTTATTTCTATATTGCTATCATTAAGACTTTAATTAACAAAAAACGCTTAGGTTTTATGAATTTTCTTTATTATGTACTATGTTTTAATCAAATGAATCACTCAGCATAATAATGTAATTTGATAATTATACTTCTTTTTTAAAGATTATTTTAAAAAAATTATGTTTTTTAGAACAATGGCTATATTTTATTAGCAATCTCATTTTTAGTATTATTAATTTAATTTTCTAATGTAAGTTTTACCTCGTCAGCACATTTCTTCCATGCATTTTTATATGTAAAAGTTGTTTGACATTTTTGAACTGTTTGATAATAATAATAAAACAATTGAGTGTAAAATGTATTTTATTTCTACCTAAACTTATTTTTTAGGTTTGACAGGTTTTTTCTTAAATTGCTTCCTTTTCTTTATCTGGTCAGAGATTTTTTTACTTTTCGCCTTTAGTTGTTTTCGTCGAATTGCCATGTCTGGTTTAGTTTTGGTTTTCTTTAATTTCATGGAAAAAGGTTGTTTAGGTGATTCAGCATTTTCTTTTTCCGCTTCAACTTTCATTTCCTCATCTTGGATTTCCTCTGTACGAAATAAATAACATAAGATATTAGCAGGTTCAGTCAGACATACATCATTAACATATATTTCATTACAAGGCATGGGGTAGAAAAAGTTGAAAGATATAAAAATATTTCTAAGAAATTACCTTTTACAACCACATGCTCTGCTTTTTTCAATGGATCTCCTTTGAAGAAGGCCGCATCCTCGATGTCTGGATATCCAGTTTCTGGTTTTGTTGCTTCATGAAGAACTTTCTGTTCGATTCTCTTTTCATATTTGTTGCCAGCTTTTTTAGCAAATGCTTGTCTCAATTTAGCTGGACTTATATATTTAGGATTTTCCCAAAGTGTAGCACCACCAAATGAGCCAGAGAATATCTTTACCTAAAAATTTAGCAAAATTCATCAATAACTCACATTAAAGTCTGTCCAAGTAAGTATTCATTAAAATGTGTTTTTTAACCTAATTGATAGGAAATTTATTAAATATATTTTGGCGAAATGTGCCTTTTCAATAAGTTTCATTCTATAAATTTTATACAGCAATTTGTTCATACTTACAGGATTTAAAACAAATCTAGGTCCAATTTCTGCTAGTGCACCATCTTCAGACAATATTTGATAATTTCTGAACCAAATTCTATTATCAAGTATCATGAAGGTATAGACATGGTCAAAGAATGGCTGACTCTTTGGGTGATGTTTTGGTACACCAAATATTTGTATAAGTAATTCTTTTAGTAGAGCATAATGTGGGTCCTTAGTAAATTGAGGATCAAATGATAATAGAGGCCTTGACCCTCTCAGACAATTACCAGTCATTTTTAGTTCTCCCATTGTGTAAACTGTAAGAAAATATTGATTACTTCATTTCTAAAGAAAATTAATTCACTAAATAGAATAGAATGCAGCAGGCAAACATTTAAGTAAGGTTTATAAAACTATGTTTAAACGTTTAAGAGTAAATAATACTTTCTCTAGCAATTTTGCATCAGCATCCATTTATTCAGATAATAATATTTTACAGTGTTTATATTGAAAAATTACTTGTGAAATCCCAACCTACGGAAACTGAAGATTTAATAGAAAATATGAAACTCAACACTCATTTTATTAGTAAATATATCAAAAGTTTATTATGAGCGTAAATACTGATTGAGATTAAGAGTATGTCAAAATCTATTACAGTTGATATATGGCATATTTTGACTCAGAATGTTTGGTTCAGTTGACTTTATTATGCTTCAAGAAATGTGATTGTTACAGTAATGACACAGATGGTATGGGTTACAAGACTTCTTAATTATTAATACCTATTATGTGAGTATCAAACTTAAATTTCAGTACCAGAACAGACACCATAGGGACTGTTAACTATCTTTTCAGTTTCCTAGGAGATTGGTTTTGCTCTTAGTAATGGATTGACGAAAAAGACGTAATATAACTTACTATTTTCAACTAAAAACTTAACACTAGGCCCATTAGGAATGTTAGACATCCAAAGATACAAATCTCTCATTTTTCTTCCTTCAAACAATATACATTTGTTGCAATTTTTCATTTCACTGATTTCATTAACCACATATAAGTTTTTGCTCCTCTCCATTTTGGATTCCGTTTTATGGTGAGGCATTAGTTTCTTTAAATCTTCCATTAAATGACGATGTCTGTGATTAATGCCACGCGCAGCAAATACTAAGATTCGTTGCCTGTTGATCCATTTAATCTGAAATGAAGAAACAATATTAGATAAGTTGTACAATAATTTCATATGACTATTCATCAAAAAGATCCTTAATACCGGTATATTTGTATAAACTAACCTGTTTAGGCGTAGGGTCATCAGACATTCGTACCGGTGGTAACACCACCATGTTATCATCCTTTTTGGGGTCCTGTATCTGAGGCACCTTGGGTTTGTTTTTCTTTACCTTTATTTTACCCATATTTTTAATTTAATACAGTTGATTCTAAAAATAATAACCTCTTTACCACGTGAAACGGACGTGAGTCGTGAAGCGATTTGAAAATCAAAATAATCAAATTCAAATGACTGACAATTTAAATTTACTTCCGAAATATCAATGTCAGTGTTATGTTAACTCACACACTGTTATCCTCTGTTATAATAAGAATACTCTATTATCTATAGAGTTAGTATGTAAGTGAAAATTTACTAAATTGGGTTGTATTTCAATATATTATGTTATTTGATTTTGTGTGTTATTGTAGTTTTCAAATTTCACTTTAGGGAACTTTCATAATTTTGGAAAAAAAAATACTTGCTATTCCGCGGGTACTATATTAACGCTATTTGGGGTTGACGGCTATGTTATATATCTAATTACTGATACGTTTGTGGGCTAGGGTGGACTAGCAGTAAAAGTAATAAAATAATAGTTACTGGTTACTGTGTGCGCTAAATATCGTGCAAAGTAAAAGCTTATCAAAATGGTCAATGGTAATTTGGAATTCTATGCATACGCGCGTTTTGGGAGTATATTAGTTAGAACAAAGATCTCCAGATAGCGCCAGTGCGCTACAATGTCGAGTGTTGACTCTATATCCTATACAATATATGTACTCTTAACTCTATGACGTCGTGTTATAGAATTTAAACGCGCACTCGGCTGTCGGCACTACGCTGCATTGTGCAATCGTCAATCGAAACATGTTATTATAGGTAGTTAGTGCTCTAGATTTTTAACTAGTTGAGATTGCTTATTTATATTTTGTTTAGTTCTTTTTATGATATAATTTTTTTAAATCAATCCACTTAATGTTAACGCGATGATTCGATCTATATCTGATCTGGTTGTTATTAATTTGCGTAATATTAATATAGTTAATTACGCTAAATACTCTAGTAGTGCGCTACCTCGCTTATCTTCGGTAAGTTTACGATTCTCTTATTTTTTATTAATTTTTCTTATCACAATTCACACTATCTTTGAGATTGATGTGCGACGTAAAACAGGTCAACTATTTTGCGATTTCTGTTATACTGTTGCGTTTCACTAATATTTCTCTGTGTATGGAAATACTATTTACTAGCTTCTTCTTCTAATAACATCGTTTTCAGACAACTTTCCTGCGACACTTTACTTACTTTTAGCTTTCGTTTAATGTATTTTACTAGAAATTTCATGTTAATAATATCTTTGTTAATAATGTCGTGTTGTGTCGTCGTAAAAGTCGTGTATACGATACCGGCAAACAATATTTTGTTTTCCCTTGCATATACCTAGGACTTAAAGACTTTTGTACCAAACGGCTTGGTGTACACCGCAAGATTTTTTTTAGAATTTACACAAAATGTTCAAATAGAAACCGCTATAAAGTTTGTTAATAAATTAACTCAGCCAGTATATATAAATGTAACTATTATCAATATAACATAGCTATTATTTAATGACAATTTTCAGGAAAAATACAACATTAAACGAAAGAATTACGGTGCTATCAAACCACCAGATATAGATTATTTCAAATCTTTACTTAGCAATGACCGTGTTTTGACGGAGGAGTCTGACGTATTACCATTCAACATTGATTGGATAAAAAATTGTCGAGGTAAGTTTGTAAAATACGGGAAGAACCAGCTGAGTAATATTCCTAAAAGAGTCTGACCATGAACGTGTTAAGACTGTCTTAAGAAAAAAAGTCTTTGTAGCTAGCTGTATGGAATAATCTCGACGCGTGCCACGGAGGGTTAAGAATTAATTTCTTTGGAAAAGAATCCGATACTCAACGCTTCGTTTATGGCACGCGGAAAATACGCAGTTACAAATTGCCTGGATACGCTATAATTGTGTTTTTCCGTCTATTTTATGTTAATGAAAAAAAAAATGAAATTTTCGGGTTCGAAAATTTAAACTATGTATTTGGAATTCGAATTTCAGTTTTTCAATATGTTTTGAAAATTTACTTACTGTATTTCGTTAACAATTTGCTAATAATTTCTTCTTAAGTGAACAGTTCAATTATTTAATATTAATTAGATACATAAGCGTTTTAGAAAGGCTAAGGTGGCACATGGAACAAAAAAAGGGTGCGTGTACTTATGTACGCGCGTAAGAAGTTATACTTCTTTGGCATTATTAAAAATAGTTTTTGATTGCAAGCAAAAAATTAACTACAATTAAATAATCAAAGACTGGAAAAAGAGTCATTATAGTCAATAAACTTCAGTTTACATTTGAAAAATTAAATTAATAAATATTTATTATTATTCTCTTACATTAAGTGTAACATAAATTATATTATTATTCGAATGTTGTTTTTAAATTATGTCCGATGCCGTAGCATCTTCCGTGGGCAACTTTATTCTGTTAATTTTGTGTAACGGTTCGCGCGCATCGTAAAATTTCACTCTCATCAATTTTTCAAAACGCGCCTAGGAAGTATAACTTCAAAAATGAAATTTTCGGGTTCGAAAATTTCATTAACTTATTTGGAATTCGAATTTCAGTTTTTCAATATGTTTTGAAAATTTACTTACTGTGTTTCGTTAAAAAATTTCTAATACTAGTTAAAAAGCTTATCGCTCCTAAAAGCTATAATTTAAGTTACTTACTCGTAAGTGAACAATTGCCTTTTTTTATATTAAAAATTATAATAACATGCATAATTTTATCATAAAAAAAAGGCATGAGTTTTAGAAATAAGTTTTAAAAATTCCCTTCCCGCTATCTGTACTTAAATCGTTTAATTAGATACCTATATTTTTATGTCTGTTTTTTTATATTAAAACAGTTTAATAATTTTCATAGGCCAGTCGAAAGTCGTACTAAAACCAAAAACAACAGAGGAAGTATCACAAATTCTGTCTTACTGCAATGACAGGAAGTTAGCTGTGTGTCCCCAAGGCGGGAACACGGGCCTTGTGGGAGGCTCTGTGCCTGTCTTTGACGAAATTGTTTTAAATCTTAGCTCTATGAACAAAATCATCAGTTTAGATGAAATATCTGGTAAGAAAAATGTAATCTTTTTTGTGGGCAGGTATAAATAATTGCTATCGTGTTCGAAAAGAGATTTTTCTTTGGAAAACTTAAGAAGTGGTCTGATTCACTAGTATTGGAACTTAATGGAAGGGTAATTGTGGTCACAACCATACCCTAGACCCTGGATCGGGTCTTCTATATCACAAATTTTTAACTGATATTACAAATATACCTTTTGTTAGTGGATAAAAAACATGTTCATTTTACATACTCAGTAGGTACATAATACATAACTTTCTTAATTGTGGCGTCATTGTATATATAATATATACTAGAGAACCCGTCATACGTTGCCCTCCATAATATTTCAAGCGATTAGGATATTAAAGTATGAAAGTACCGACTGCAGCGCCATCTGCTTGATTTGTGAATCTAAACTATACAAAAAAAATCATTCAAATCGGTCCAGCCGTTTAAGAGGAGTTCAGTGACATTCACACGTACAGTAGAATTATATATATATATATATATATATATATATATATATATATATATATATAAAGAAAGTAATGCAGATGGTCTGTTATAACTAGCAGTCAGAAATACATAATCACGCGTTTCATTCCTTTCAGAGTCACCATATAATAGACATTTAAAAAATCCCTGAATATATTTTGAAATAAAGTTTGGAAAATCCAAAAGTGCACGCCTCATTGTAGCGGTCATTCACATTAAAAAATAAAATAAATCATTCGTTTACATATTTTTTTCTACTTCTTACTACTTACTTAATATAATAAAAAAATATATAGTGGCGCCATAACTCTAAGGTGAGGAAAAAAGATACACACCGGCCCTATACTAAAATAAATGTATATATAGATATACAAATACACAGTCGTATTTTAGTTTTTTACAAATTATAATTAAACGACAGTACTTAGAACGCTAATATTAACTAGGAATCAGCCCAGGGTATAACTTTATATAATAAGAAAAAAAGTATCCCGGTACGATGAATTTTTCGACCAATTTCTCTGCCACATACACATGGATCCATAAACACAGACTGACGGACGTCCAAGAATGATTGATTTTAATGTTACTATGTTAAACAAAATAATTGTTCATAAAAAATACCATATGTGCTTGATAGATTATTTAACTCGATTTTAGTGCACTCATATTATCCTGTAAGTGGTTATGTTAGTGAGAAAAAGTCATTCAAGTTTCGAAAGACTGGGTTTTTTGACATGTCGAGAGTAGAGCACTGCCTCCGCTCCGCTAATGAGGCGTGCAATAATGTCACTTTTACTTTTATTATAAACACGATAGTTTTCGTCAAATCATTATAGAATGCCCAGTTATTTCAAAAAGCGAGTAGATGATCAGCCCTCTGGACCTAACATAACGTCGACTGTTTGAGTCTAAGGCATTCCGGTTTCGTCACGATGTTTTCCTACACGAGCGAATGCATATAGAGAGGAATCCATTGGTTCATAACGGGGATTCACGATTCCAGGAATGAGAGTCGCACGCAATATGTAAAAAAGCTGCTACTCTATTAGAACTTAATTCTTCTAGGTGCACTTGTATGCGAAGCTGGGTGTGTATTAGAGAATCTGGACAATTATGTTCGCGACCACAATCTAATAATGCCACTCGACCTTGGAGCCAAGGGTTCATGCCATATCGGGGGAAATGTGAGCACAAACGCTGGTGGCTTACGATTGTTGAGATATGGGAATCTACATGGTTCCATACTGGGGATCGAAGCTGTACGTTGTTTTAGGTATTTTTATGATAGCTCTCATGTTAAAATCATCTCAATATGAAATCGGTGGAAGATGTATGCTGTGTTTAGCGTTACTCTTATTGTAATAATAAAGCATATCAAGCAATTTTACCACAGAATCCCTAAGAAAGTGTGTTTTTCGTCTTACTATGGTTAAATCAATTTTGATATTTTTTTTAATTACCGCTAACAATATAAGTAAACAGTTACGAGGCTCATCTAATGGTGTTGAGGTCTAATAATACAGCTCGTTCCATGGGGTTACCTTAAATAATGAGGACTGAAACCTAGTTCGAACGTTATAAAATACGTTAACAGTAAACCAGTACTATCTGTTAGTAATAACAAAAATATAGTTTTTTTTTTAATACTTTACTTTAAAGGTTTTTGTCTATAATTAAAAAGGCTGTGTTGCGGTGTGTAATGTGTGTAAAACTGAATATCACTTCAGGTAAAAGCTGATGGTACAGTAATAGATTGTCTACGGACCCTGAAGAAAGATAACACGGGGTACCATTTGAAGCACCTATTCATAGGTTCTGAAGGCACTCTTGGTGTGGTCACGAAGGTAGCAGTTCACTGCCCAGCGCTGTCTAAGTCCGTATCGCTTGGATACTTTGGTATGCTTATATATTTTCTTTTTAATATATCTTACATTGATCATGCATCACAATATATACATTAAATTTTCCTCCCTTAAGACACAAATTACGAAGATTTGGTTAAGTATCTTGTGAGAATAGTGATTTTAATACGGAATAGCTTGCAAATACCCATCCACTGCACTACACGGTTGACTAGAAACAATAATTCATTGTACACATAATATCTCATATTTGTGCTCATCGTTTATTGGTCATGTAAACAGATTGTGTCAGATTTGCAATAAAACTGAGTTTTTTAGCAACTCCATAGAGACCTTTCGCCGAGTCGTTTTAGCAACTTCGCTGAGTTAATTATTTGCTATTAGTATTATTTTCATTATTCGCGGATGCTTGGCGGATCCATGCGACTTCTTCGATACAAAGAGTCCCCGATTCGTGCTGCGATATTGCGGGCTATCGCTTGTGAGGAAGTTGAAGTGTTTGATTGTGTGATGTTTGAGAGCAGAAATAAATAATTTAAAAAGTCTAGATACATCATGAAATATTTTCTGATTAGTCGGCCATGTTGTATGATTATTGTCTCGTTTCGGTTTCCTTTACCGATCTCACAAGTTTCGCGCACATAGAAATCCATTGGTGCACAGCCATGGGTTGAGACTTGAGAGTCGCACGCTCAATTTTCCATGTGTTCAGGTGTCAACTCCTTTGAAGATGTATTGGAGTTGTATAAAAGCGCAAAAGAATCGCTTGGTGAGATATTGTCTGCGTTCGAAATGGCGGACAACGAGGCAATCAGTTCGACTGTGGAAAATTGTAAACTTTCGTAAGTATTTAGCATTTTTTAAATAAAATAAAAATTCGTTAAATATATTGTGTTGTATTTATCTGTTATGTGATAGTATTATCAGCATGACTAAGTAAATATTATCGTAATGTATAGGAGTTTATCGGCTTAAAACGAACCATATACTATTTTTAGCTTCCATTTCTTCTAGATGTAAAAATATTTGTAAATTTTGCGATTTTTGAAGTTATACTTCTTTAGGCGCGTTATGATAAATTGATGAGAGTGAAATTTTACGATGCGCGCGCACCATGACACAAAATTCACAGAATGAAGTTGCCCACGGAAGATGCTACGGCATTAGACATAATTTAAAAACAACATTCGAATAATATGTAATAGAATTTATGTTACACTTAATGTAAGAGAATAAAATATATTTTTTTTTAATAAATATTTATTTATTTAATTTTTCAAATGTAAACTAAACTTTATTGACTATAATGACTGCATTTCCAGTCTTTGATTATTTAATTGTAATTAATTATTTGCATGCAATTAAAAACTATTTTTAATAATGCCAAAGAAGTATAACTTCTTACGCGCGTACATGAGTACATGCACCCTTTTTTTACATAGTATTACTTTTTTCATTGATATTTGTTGTTGTTGACATCAACTAACTTCAATCGTTTAAAACATTAGCTTATAGCTAACATAAAATTAGGGGTGGTGGGGTTGCGACGCTAACAAAAACTCAATTCAATACAAAATTTTTGGACATTATCGGAAACATGAATGTTGTATTACAAATTATTAGCACGGAAAAAAAGGGCACATTTTGGCTTCATATGTGCGATAATTGCTTACATTTTATTTACGCTTCTTTTTATTAACTAAATTATATATAGGGTCGGTTGTTGAACAGTGAACCAACCAGGAACATTGAACCACCACCATGTTGAAAAAACTGCGAGGTTGTCAATTCGACCGATCATGTTAAAACTTCTCTCGTAGGCACCCTTCCCCTTAGCCATGGCCGGTGGCCGCGGCTTAAGTGTGACGTATGACAGCGGTTTGTTTGTTTCTCGCCAAAAAAACATAGATTTCTCACGTAAGTATCTCGATTTTTATATATTTTGTTATTAATTCCAGCACCAAAAGCATTATGGTGTCGATATTGTTGTAGTTTTAGATGTTTTATGAGCATATTGCTTTGTGACAATTTAGCCTACAACCTATTTTTTTTTAATATTATATGTTGAATAGTGTGTGTATTGAACAGTGAACCAGGTTCGCATAGTACACAGTGAACCGGTTCACTGTGTACCTTACGATCCTGGTTCACTGTTCAATGATAGTGGTATGCTGAAAATCAATAATATTTTTGATTGTTTTAGGTTGCCAAGGCCAAGAAATAAGGAAAGAAAAATTGGAAAACACAATAAAGAGGATATGATGTTCAGCATTACTAATGATAGAAAATGGTAGCTCCATTAGGACGGCGGCAAAAACCAGTAAAATTCCCTACCCTACATTGCGCCGTTACGTTAAAAAAAACGTCAACATGGTGATAATATATCACTTGAACCGAGGTATGATATTAATAAAGTGTTTACTGAAGAACACGAACAAATATTATTAAAATACTACAAAGACTGTGCACTAATGTTCTACGGTTTGACCATCAAAGAATGTAGGAAGGTGGCTTACGAAATGGCAAAGGTTAATGGCATTGAAATACCCAGCTCATGGGAAAGGGATAAAATGTCAGGTTTGGGATGGTTTCGCTTATTTAAAAAAAGACATCCTGATATTTCAGTAAAGAAAACAGAAGCTGTAAGTCTCGCACGAGCTACCTCATTCATTCGGGAAGCTGTGGCAATATCTTCTAATAATTTGGAGGAATTGCTAAAACGGGAGCCTAGATTCGTGGATGGAACTCGAATATTTAATCTTGACGAAACCGGCACAACAACCGTCCAGAAATCACAGAGAGTTGTGGCTCCAACAGGAGCTAAAGTAGGTAAAGTGACAAGTCGAGAAAAAGGCACTCTTGTCATTTTAAATATTCCTTCAATGTAAACTTATCTTTACTAAGTATGGTGTAAATATTTACCTACTTTGACGCATTTTGATGTGATTAAGAAGTTAACTGCTGTGAAGACTATACGAAACCTTTATAATTTGAAACTTTAATTATTGGTATGTTATGTTTATTTTTTGCTGAATTTATTATTATTATTACCATAGAAAACCATTTTTTTTTGTTATTAGAATTAATACTTTTTTATTGTATTTTGTGCAACAAAAATAAAAGACGATTATCAAAAATATTATGGTGTCTTTTCACAAATAAGGATTTTTACTGGTAACGACATTGTGGTTCACTGTTGAAATACAGGTGGTTCAGTGTATACTCCCTATAGTACACAGTGAGCCAATTTTTTTTTTTTTTTTAAACTTAATATATGGTCTTAATTTTTTTCTCTAGCTTTCTGTAACCTGAATATGAGATACTGTATAAAATTGCCTAAACCATGAGACCAAAACGAAATTCTTAACTTTAATTTCTTACAAGTTATATGACTTAGAAAAAAGGTTGGTTCACTGTTCAACAACGCACCCTACATATGTAACATAACTAATGTAAGGTTATATAACTCACGCTTAGAGTTTTTATTTTGTTTATTGGTTGGGTCCGAAAATAATATAAATTTTATAGAAACGTGAGTTTTAAAAAAGTATCCCCTTAAAACCCCCTAGACATCTTGATTACCTCTAAATTTTGGACCGTAATATTCATGATTTTTTTATATTATTCCAGGAATCCTTTAGAAGATTACCCATTCTATGTGCTCATAGAAACAAGTGGTAGTGATGAAAGTCACGATGACGAGAAATTGAATCGATTTTTAACGAAAGAAATGGAAAGCGGTAAGATTGTTGACGGGACGATTACTTCGGAACCCGCGAAAATGAAGGTAGTTACAAAAGTTGTTATTAAATAAATACATTACATATTCAAATCTGCTTCATCATTAGATCATATATAGACTTAGATCGCTTTAATCTATTGTAAATGTTTTATATATACAGGTTTATTTTTTTGATAAAATATATAATACTAGTGGACCCCACAGACGTTGTCCTGCATGATATTTAAAGCGATTAGGATATTAAGCAAAGTATGAAAGTACCGACTGCAGTGCCATCTGCCGGGCTGTTTTGTGAATCTAAACCATCCACGGCTCCACCCAAACGTATACAAAAAAATCATTCAAATCGGTCCAGCCGTTTAAGAGGAGTTCAGTGACATACACACTCACAGAAGAATTATATTATATATAAAGATACAATGTACTCCAAGTGAGAGTGGAATCGCACTTACGAGTGATACGTAAACCAAATTTTGATTAAAATCAAATAACGGATGAAGATAATCAAATAACGTGTCAATTGTCATAATTTTTTTTATTCAAAGTAAAGTGGGGTCAGTATTGTTTGAAGTACTGTTTTGAAAAAAAAGAATTTTGTTTTTACTTTTCTGACGTTAGCATGATAAACTAATTTCTTTTTTTTGCAACGACAATACTGGCCACCTTTGATTAAAAAAGAAAAAATTACAATTGACAGTCTTTTTTTCATTTATCTCGTCTACGTTTCACTTAGAACTGCGATTCCATTCTTAGTTAGAGTGGGTCACTTCGCCATTATTTGTCCAAAGGGGCTCGTTTTTGTATTTGAATGCGGTCGAATGACATTCTGTATTGTCATTTCAGATTTTTTACAGAAATAAAAAAAAAATTATTACGGTAATTGTATAATCTGACTCACATAACAAATGTTTTAGAATATATGGAATATTAGAGAAAGCATACCTGGCGCGGGTTTACTTGATGGTTACGTGTTCAAATACGACATTTCTATCCCGCTAAAGAACTACTACGATATCGTGTTATTACTGCGCAAGCGCATGGGTAATAAGGTCACGCGTGTTTACGGCTATGGGCACATTGGTATGTGGTTTGTTGCAACTACTATTTATATATATACTGGCGGATTTATATACAGACCTTGTTGCTGAACTTACGTCTTCAATGCACAAAAAATAATTTAAATTTTGAAATGAATTTAAAAACACACCAAAATAATTTATCAAAATCGGTCCAGCCGTTTAGAAGAAGGACACACGCGCAGATAGTGGATACAAATTCTAAGATTACATGAAGATATCCGTAATAACAGTTGACAAGAATTATAAATATCTGGTATGTGCAGGCAGTTCGCGGATTGTTGGGAAAGTAAATTCAGAACTGCGATTATTATCTATGGATAGTATTATTTGATTGATCTAACCGGCTTCCGATGGACTTTCACTTTTCCATGTCATTTATGTAAACGAATTAAACAGTTGTCTCAACGCCGTGACGCGAAACTCGCGAGAAATCCGGCTGTCTGTTTGACCTAAAAAGTCAACACCTATATAAGGCACAGAAGAGCTGCATCACGCTACTTGCCTATTATTTATTAAAAACTATGATGAAACAGATACAGAAATCTGAGGCCCAGACCTAAAAATATGCGTCTAAGCTTAAGATGTGCGTTACAACTGTTACTCGCGTCAGCGCCCCGTCGCCATTCATGCCCCGCCCGCTGTTATGACAATTTAACCATTGAATGCATAATGAAAATTGTCACCATGAAAAAAATCATTTTTTTTTACATAGACTAAAATGTGTAAAATATTTTTAGGTGATGGCAACATTCATATAAATGTCTCAACTCCAGAATATTCAAAAGAAATCTGTGACATGTTGGAACCCTACGTATTCGAGGAAGTAGCCAAGGTCAAGGGATCTATTAGTGCTGAACATGGAGTTGGTTTCCGCAAACCACAATTTATACATTACAGCAAAGATGGAACGGCCTTGCAACTTATGAGGGATTTAAAACAATGTATGGATCCTAATGGCATTCTTAACCCGTATAAGGTGTTGCCAGATAACTAAATTCGGGTTGTTACGTAAAAATCTGTTTTTTTGTTTTTTATTTTGTATATTACGTAATAAAATATACTATCATTTTTTTCATTAATTGTTACACACTTATTGTTGTTTTCTGCTAATTTAATAAAATTTTTTTAATAAAGGTACCTATAACCTGCTTTATAGTTTTTTTTTAATTTAACGGGGAAAACGGGCAGGAGTCTCACCAGTGCGTGCTGGGCTTTTCAGAATAGGTTCTTTTCTTGAAGGACCCTTAATCGAATTAGTTCAGTGGGCAGCTGGTTACACAAAGTGGTGGTGCGCGACAAAAACTGCTTTAAAAGACGCGCAGTTCTGAAACGATGGGTATTGTAAATCGAGTAATACATTTCGTGTTCCGCCTCGACGTCCGATTATGTAACTCAAGTGCAGTATTAATCCGAACAACTCCTCTGAAAATTCTCCTTGGTAAATGGGGTAGATGATGCAGAAGTTATTGTATAAAAGGACTCAAACTATCTTTATTCATATAGGTATTAACAAGTACACTTATGAATGTCAAAAAAGAAGTTAAATTCATCATAAATTTACATTTACTACCAGTACGCAAGTCAAGGGCGTAGAGCGGGCAAAAAAGAACTGGCAAGAAACTCTCCGCCACTCTTTTTAATCTCTAAGTTTTGAGTCATACAAATTGTTTGAACTGGAGCAAATCAATCCCAAGGATTAGGATCATTTAAGTATTCCTCAAATTTATAAAAAGCTTTATTGATTATTTTCGTTTAACGAGGGCTTTGAATTTATTTAGTGATAATTCTCTAATTTTGGGAGTTTGTTGTAAAAACGAATACAATTTTCATATACATATATGGTTTATCTTCTGGAACTCATAAATGTTTCTAACCATTTTAATTTTAGAGATGCCATTTTTCTATTTGCTCTAATAAGTGAAATAACTACAACTTGAGTCATGACTGACAAGTATTTGACGCAAAAGTTAGTTAAAGTGTGCAATAATTGTCAAATTCATGATGAACTACAGACACAAAATTAAAGTTTTCAACGTCTGAGTTGGCACCCATTATTTGTTTGTTTACCTGTAATGTGGCGTAACTTATAATAAGTCTTTAAAATGTATTTATAAAGACAGTTGTAAGCTGTTATTCTTTATATATTTCTACAATTTCTTGTTTAATAATAAGGAATAAGAGGAAAAAATAATAATTGTCATATAATATAATGTACGTAAAATATTGATTAAGGAGTATGAAAAATAATTTCAATATATAAATCTGTGATTAAAATTTATTGTGTGCGAACACTTGTTTTTCTAATATTTTTTTTGTTGTTTGGGTATTTATTGTATAGTTATCTACCTTTTCATCCTATTGTTACAATAGTCTATTTTGAAATAAAACATCGATTATTTAAATGACTTTTATTAAAATATCCATTTATTCTTATAACATTCATAATATCACTGCAACACAAATACAATGGAATATTATAAACATCTGCCTAATTGTTTAAAATAAATTATGTGTATCATAATTGTAAATGGTTTCACGGAAGGGTACGTGAGAAAATGCCATTAATTAAAGAGTTAGAAGTGCAGAATTTTTGGGAACCAACCCGTTAATCATTAGTTATTTAAATAATTATATAAAAAAGAAGATAAACACAAGTCAACTGTCAAAACTGACGGAAATTTCACAATACTTGAAATTAGAATGAAATAGATCTGATTCTGTATTTTTTTTGGTTTCATCCCAAAAATTCTGCACTATCAGGCATAGTCGGGCAGACTGTATATTATACAAAAATATTTCATAATACCAATTCCACCTAGAAATTAACAATCACACTCCTAAAAAGAAATGCTGTGGAAGCTTTTTAATGCGATATGACAGCGCAAATTTCATCGAATATTGTTAAGTGTACCCCATAGTATATTTAAATAGATTTTATTTGCACACATACGTTGATATTTTTCATAAAATATTATTTAAGATTTGAAGATAGATGATGAAGCTTGCCTAGTGTGAACAGTTCTAACACTTCTTTCAATAGATGTAGTATTCTTTTTTATAAAATATGATTGGTCTATGATTTTCCATAGATAATGAATCTGGTCACTTGCGAGCAGGAAGTTTTACTTTTCCCAATTTTTCTAACATTTCGTTAAATATTATATGTGTGAAATAACTGTGGCTGATAACAATTTTATTTCTCATTATGCATAAATAAAGCCATTTATATATTTCTCATCAAGTAGATAAGATATTTTTTCTCACGATTTACGGAATGGCACTATTAACATCTCGACTTCGTATATTTAAAATTTTCCTTGGTTGATTTAAAAAACATTACTATCAGACGTACAGCAGATTACTGTAAAGTATTTAAACGACTTTCGACTGAAAAGTTATTATTTTAATTTTCATTACTGGCAATTCTGAAAGCACTCTCATATTGTTCGAATTTTAAAAATGCATTCGTAAAATCGGCTCTACGCAGTGATTCAATTGTCAGACAAAATAAATGGAACAATAATGAGATCACTAAATAATTTTACGACGAAATGTAAACAAGCCAACACAAAAACCATGACAATTGTCATATTATTGATTTTATTATTGCTAATTCATTAAAATCATTACTAAAATATAAATTTGCGCTACAGATACTTGTTTACATTTAGTCACTTCAAAAAACGTAAAACAAATTAAAATTACAACAGTCAAACCAACTCTCCGGATCACCAAAACTAAATTATGGTCAGTTAAAAAGCATTAACATGCAGTTAACAACTTTAACGGTATATTATGCATATAAAAAAAATCCGTTAAAATTGTTTTTGTAAGGCAATGTAAATATCGCATATAAGTTTCGTAGTCTTCGCCCAAAAGTGTATTTCAATTTAAAAAACACAATTCGATTTTCAAATGTTGCGAAGCTGTCAACATCAAATGTCACCGATTGACAGATCTCAAAACGGAGTCAAATGTCACCGGTCGTGACGTTTGACGTTTACACTGTTTAAAATATTCAATACACTTCCGTGCAAAGGTACAATAAGCCTACTTTAATGCTATTGTATTTGCCGTTGCTATGTGCTATGACAGCGAAATATTTTTTGTGACTTTTTAGTAATTTTGTATTTTTTTGTCGCTTTAATCTATGGTCTGATCCGGTTAAGCGTGTGTCGGTTATCGCTTAATCTGGTTCGAGTGCTTAAGAAACTCAAGGAAGCCCTCGCGCATTTCTGCGTCCATTCCAGTGCCCCATCCGTCACCATCTAACTCCTCACTGAAATATACATATTTTTATTGTAAAATTCCTTCCTTATCAATTAAATTAGCTATTTTTTTTAAATATAATAAAGTAGAAAGATTAATAAGAACTTCGTAAAAATCAAATTACTAGCCATTGAATAAGAGCGTCGAAATTCTTATAAAGTAGCAGGTTAAACAAAAGGAGCGAGCGAATATGTTGCCGGCCTTTAAGAATTAGCACGCGATTTTCTGGTTCCTACTCCTAGGGTTTTGCACTACCGAGTGGAATTATATATGCATTTTTAGCGTACCACTGTGTGTATCGAAATATATCCCAAACAATTCTATTTAGGATCTTACAAAAGACCGGCAAAGCATTCTTGCCTGCCAATGTAAGTGACAATGGGTAAGCTTCCAATTTCATTACACATGAAATATACTCACAGTATGTCTTCCTCCAACGCCGCCGTCTTGTTGTTGGGCAGGTTGTTCTGCATGAAGGCGCATTCCTCCGGCGTCAGGGTGTACCCATCTGCCAGATAACCGCCTTCCGGGGTCATTAAGCCGTCTGAAACAAAGTCTTTTTAACTGGCTATATACATATTAAAAAAAAAAATATTAAAAAGAGTAGAGAGTTTATTCCAGTTTTTTTTACCTTGATTTGAGAACTGGCAGTAAATGTAAAATTAGAAGCATTAATATTTATTTCTTTAATGACGAATCACAAGTGTACATTGTGTTACCTACGTGAATAAATGATTTTTGAATTTGAATTTGAATTACCCTTACTTGGAATGGCCCAGTGGGAAGAAAAAAGAGAGGATGCCCACAAACTTGGGAAGATGAAATTAAAGGGATAGCGGGGAAAAATTTCGCAAGATATAGGGACAAGTGGAAGAATTTGGAGGAGACCTTCAGTCCGTCGGAGGTCGTGTAAAACTTATAAGACACTGTAGTTATAGTGTACTCGAATAAGGAAATTTTTATTTTTTATTTTATTTATACATATATTACATAAAAAAGTACTATACTATTGAAAAGGAAAGGTATTTTGTTTTTAGATGAAACAGTCTCCATTTTGATTGACCCTTAATTTATTTCCATTGAAATAGATGAATTTGTTACTTCATCGATATTTCTTTTCATTCATGTCAATATTTATAATTAAATTTTATTTATACGTCAAGCAAAGTGATGGAAAATATTGAAAAGATCTTTTTTTTTGTGACTACAAAAGGTTCCCTCCGGAGTGAGGTCTACTCGATTGTGAGGAGGTTCCATGGATCTGGTTAGCGCTGCGCCTTAAACGCTCTCATGTACTTTTCATATGTGTATGCATTTTCTAACATATATAAGTACTAGTTGACTCGGAAAACGTTGTTTTGACATGTTGAGATAATATATCTCTAGGAAACATTTTTTAGTTGAATAAAAATAACTATCTACTATAATAAAGATAGAGGTTCATATCGTAGAGGAGTCAAAATTGTATGTATTTTTGTATGCTGTATCATAAAAAATTAAAAACAAAAAATTAAAAACAAAAAAAAATATTTTTTGGTATGGACACCCCTTGTCACTTAAGGGTTTGAAGTTTGAAGATACATAGTAGCCGATTCTCAGACTTACTGAGTATACATAAAAATTTCATAAGAATAGGTCGAGCCGTTTCGGAGGAGTATGGGAACGAACATTGTGACTTGTTTGACGTTCAAAAGTGCCATTTTAGATGGTCTAATTGAAATAAACGATTTGACTTTGACAGAGAATTTTAATGTGTGATGATTTGGCTTTGTTTAGCAGTAACAATTTAGTTTTTTGTCTAGAATATTAAGTATTAATTGTCGTTTGTTATAGTTTAATTTCAGTTTTCTTTTTGTCTATTAATGTAGGTACTTATGTTTTCTGTTTCATATATTTTGTTTATCAATGTAATCTTTTTTTACTTTGTGTATCGTATACGTGTTTTCTTTTATAATATGCATATGTTTTTAGCTCTTAAAGTACTAATAAACAAATAAAATTGTGTTGAATATATATTGAGACTGTGTCCTGCGAAAACTTGACGGTAATCAATTTTCTTATAACCCATTTAAATGAATAAACAAACATAATTATATAAATACTCACTTTGTCTTCTCCGTGGGTCTTCTAGAGGCGGTGTTGGATCATTTTCCGCCAATCCCCACCGAGTAGCGCGCAAAGCGAGAACGCCTCGTACGCTGGGCAATTGTGCGCGTCGCTTCAAACGTTCGAAGGCCGCGTTAATGCCCCCTGGACAATCCGCGTCTAGAGCTATGCCTGATAACTGATAATATATACGGATCAATAAAAATATATATTCTGAATAAGAAAATAATAATTTATTCAGTAAATACTAAGTTTTATTAGTTCAAGTGTAAGGGAGCGTTCAAATATTACGTGACGAATTTGAGGGGGTCCTGTAAAACGTTACGATGCGGGGCGGGGCATTGAATTACGCGTTATTGTTAATATTATTTTCGACTTTCCAGTAACCCACCACATAATGGTAACTTTTAGGAATTAAGAGTCACTGAGGTGGTCACGAAGCGTTTTACTATACCTGGGTACAGTAGTGTACTTGGGAACAGAAAAACGTTACGGCGCGTTACATGGGGGGGAGGGTCAATAATCTCCAAAAATTGCGTGACGTAATACTTGAACGCTCCCTAAGCCACTTTACTATTGTTAGGTCTTTAGACAACATCCGTGGTATCATCCATACACTGCCACTCGCGAATATGTTATAATAATAATAAAACTCGTTATTTCCTATCTTTACATTTTATATTTTACAATAGAAATTACGCTATTGAACGATTATAATTATAATCATAATGCCAAATTTGATCTTATCTCGCGGGTCTGTTATCGTCCCTGACCGACTTGTCTTAGTAAACAAACCCATACAATGATTAAACATAGTTTTGGGTATAATAGAATTAGCATTAAAAAATACAAAAAACTCTTTTGTAAATTTTTTGACAGCGTCAAAGAATGCTTTAGTAAAATCGGTACATTATTTTTTTTAAAGGATGTCTTAGCGGTACATATACGTAGGTACCAAAAAAAATGTTTTAAATTTAATATTATTAGAACCAAACAGTCGACGGTGTGCCAGGCGGCCACAGGAGGCTGATCACCATTAGATTAACAAATTAGATTAGCTAGAAATCTGAGGCCCAGACCTAAAATGTTTATAGAGCCACTGATTTATTTATTAAATTTAAATTTAATATTACTACGACTTTTAACGTTTAAATTATTCTCGTGAATTGTATTGTTAAATGGGTTATGTACAAATCTTTTATTTTAGGAAAACCGACTTCTAAGTAACAGATGGATGTAATTGTAACAGTTTTCAAAAATTAATTATAATTTTCATTATGGACAATTTAAAAATAATAAATGTGATTTAGATTAAATTTGATATACATAAAAAACAGGGACACATTATCATGTTCCCCTGTTCTGTATATAATTTTAGTTATTTTTTATTTTACACTTTATATTAGCTTCATCTGTAAGAAGGGAAAAGAACCCCCCGGGCCCGGTTTTTACCCCCCTTTACAGGGAAAAATTTAATCAAAACTTTCCCCCCCCCCCAAAAAAAAAAAAAAAAAAAAAACCAAAAAAAAAAAAAAAAAAAAAATTAAAAAAAAAAATTAAAAAAAAAAAAAAAAAAAAAAAAAAAAAAAAAAAAAAAAAAAAAAAAAAAAAAAAAAAAAAAAAAAAAAAAAAAAATTTTTTTTGGGGGGGGGGTTTTGTTTAGGCAATTATAACTATAAGTTAAAAAGCATTTCAACCGGAATCGAGTCGGTCAAAGGTTTAACTTTCTCAATATCGAAGCAACAATATCCAATGAATAATTCAAAAGAATGCAATAATCATGGGGCATTGAACTATAAATCATTTGCTTAATAAATACAATTGATATCATATCAAACACATTCTTAGTAGTAATACAGGTTAGATTATAAGGTGTTTTAATGTACTATAAACCATAAATAGTTGAATAATGATTTTTAAACTGGTACAAGTGACGAAACAATATAAAGAAGTTATATACTATACTAGGAGGATATACTCTACATTGGCCGCTTTCTATACTCAATCCTAATTCAATTTATACTACTAGAGATTAATATTTCAATCCATTCTCATAAAATACTATTCAAAAACTGATCGATGGATTGTTTTTGTAAAATATCTTTGTATTCGACAGATCGAATTTCGACATTTATCAATTGAAATTTGCGAAAATTATTGAAAACAATTTTCGATTTAGGTCAATATAACCGGTATGTTGGTCTAAACGATGTCGGCGTAAACGGTTTTGAATGTATATACAAAAAGGTTCCCAAATTTATTAAATACATTTAACTAATTAATACTAACATATATTATATATCAATTACCTTCAATAACTGGCACACTGCTTTGATATTCGTCTCCTTGTCCGTGTCCAAGAGATGTAACAACACCTTACAGAGACTTTCGCCTAACGTCTTGATTCGTCCACCCTGGAAATAAATATGGTTAAGTAGGAGTTGTCAATGTCGTGGTCTAAAATGCTGAGAGTGATCTGGTGAACTGAGTATTAAAGATTTACTTAACGAAACACACAAAATAATAATAATAATAAAAAAAAAACAATATATTTTTACGGTGTCGGTACCCCCGTACCGACCCCTATAACTTTTTAAAAACATCTCAATTAATGCTCCTCAGCATAATGTCGACTCAGGGCCAATGTCCAACAGAGTCACAACACCTTACAGAGACTTACGCACTTAAAATGATATCTCACCCTTTAAATAAATAGGTTAAGTAGGATTTGTTATTTTCTTTATTATTATGTTGAGTGTACCTTGGTGAAAACTGAATGTTAAAGATTTCGCACACAAATTAGTAATAAATGTTATGTCTAAAATTTCAATAAACTCGAAACTCGCTAGACAAGATGGCGGATGATTAATTTTAAATGGGCCTAACCTAATGCCTCTATAAATTTGAGATAATTATTATGTTAGAAAATGTGAATAAAATCGTGTTCAATAAGGATTTTATTGTTAAGAAATATATTGAAATATTGAGATCTGTTTAGCATTTTTAGTAAAGTTTTGGTATGTTAGGGATTAATGGGTCTATGAGCTTGCGAATATATTTTTTGGGTTTCACTAATCTACTCTTACAGCATTCGTCTTATACTATCATTTATTCTCGAGCTCAGCTAGTTGCCAAAGGAATTTCCTATCTATGGGCAATTCATAGTTATACAAACTCTGAGAAATCTTAGATCTAGAATTTTGACAGATATAGGCTGATCACTTTACCTAATCAATTGATATCTAGACTAATATATATAAGCCGTAAGGTTGGGTTCAAGTGCACAGGCGCTAATTAAAGATTTAAGTTGGCGCCTGGTGACCCCAGAACTGATGCTTTCCTCGATCAACTATACAGCGAGGAATAAAGCCAGCAAAAAGGTACACTGCCATAGGGACCAAACTTCTTAAATTTGCTAAAATTTTATTTTTATGAATTTTTAATTATAATGATTAGTATGTTATAATAACGATAATATAACTAATAATCCACATATTGTTTACCTATTTCTACACATATCTAACTTCCAAACTATATTTAGTATATCGTCTTTTAATACGCGTAATAAAAATTTAAAAAACAAAATGCGTATAAAAGCATCTCGTACTCTTGCTATTGGAAAAATGCCATGTCTTATTATAGTTACAGAATGCTTCATGCTTTATGGCAATTTTTCAATTATTATTCAGTGTCATAGGCTACTAGTATTATTCTTGTTAGTAATTTAAACTATAAATATTTATAGATATTAAATAAAGAGTATATAACATTTGAATCGTAGGAATACATTTCACTTTCACTGGCAAAATCGAACTTCAGAAACTAGAGAATGTTCAAGTCTCGAACCATTCCACAGGTTGTATTTTACTTCTTTAAAATGTTCTTGTTATATATTTGTCGCAGCCAACTAGCTTAATAAGCCGTTCAATTAACGGCCTAGCCTCTTAACTAAACAGCGCCGTTTAACTAGCGGCCTGAAAGATATTCAGCCAGTTTGTCAAAAAAAGCTAGGCAAATGACTTGGATCGATGACGTTTCATTACTTGCCTAGCCTGTTGACTGTTAATTTAAATTTGGTTCAACGTTCTGCCACACTCAAACTCGATCGAAACTCTTCAAACTGTCAATACGGCATCGGCAAACCACAACTTTGATAGTGTTTTCCAAAGTTCAATGAAAAACAACAACTACAATGGAATACTGTAGTGACAATAATAATGTGAACTGACTCAAACAATTTATTTTTTAAAAAGATATTTTTTATGTCAGATGTTTATTTCAGACACATGGTCACTCTAGCGTACGAATGGCCTAAGCATTAGCCAGCCAGTTTATTAAATGTTGTTACAAACGCTACGGCTGATCTTTCAGGCCGCTAGTTAAACGGCGCTGTTTAGTTAAAAGGCTAGGACGTTAATTGAACGGCTTATTAAGCTAGTTGGCCTGCCCAGAGTTATAAAGAAACATACTAGTTTCAATAACGTTCTATTTTGCCTAGACACCATAGAGAAAATGTAAAACAAAAGACGAAACGATTGTACACACCACCATCACGTTAACAGCATTTCCAACACACGCTCACGTTATGCGTTCGGCCAATCAGATTCGATGGTTTCAGCCCCTGGGTCATATTTCTCAGATTCTTGTATTTTAATAATATTTACAACTCCATAAGTTTTTTTCCTTTTTAAACTCATAAATCTTAAAGGAATTTTGTTCTTCTCAATCTTAAGATGCAGAGATTTAAATCATTACAGCACAATTAATTCATTAATTTATAGACATAAAAACCTAACAACAGGTTTCTATTTAATCAGTACATTTTATGGTAGGGATTTCCTAATCAGACATATCGAAAAACAAGAAATGCTTACTTGACTATCTTCCAGCTGCGTATAAATCTCGGCTAGGAACATGGCGAATCCCCTCATGTTCTCCTCCGAAGTTTCCACTCCGCTGATAATCTTGTTCTCTTCTGTGGAACAGCGCTCGAGAAGACATGCTCGGAAGGTCGATTCTTCTGGTGTAGCAACCGAATCGTACATTGAACATAGCCGTGCGCCGTTGTAACGGAAGTTCGACTCGGCGATTGACTGTTAAAAGAATATTAATTAGGACGATAAAACCGACTTCAAAGAAGGAGGTATGTGACTATGTTGGACTTGGCGTCAAAGTCATTTAATCATATAGGTAACACAATGTACACTTATGAACGTCAAAAAAAAAATGTATATGAAATGCTTCTAACTTTACATTTAGTGCCAGTTCTCAAATCAAGGGCGTAGAACGGAAGAGAAGAACTGGCAATAAACTCTCCGCCACTCTTTTTTAATCGCCATGTTTTTTTTATACGTTTCTAAGGAGCTGCAACCATTACACCATGTTCCACATGACATCTTAAGTAATTAATAATAATAACATAAATTAAAAAAGACTTGTCCTCTATCAGCAGGAGGCATGGTGAAATAGGAGCACTCACTTACATTCTCGTGGGAACAACACGCAAACACATAGTCGAAATAATTAACATCACCGCATACACGAATTCAAATACGACAGTCACCAGTATGACGCATGGTCAGCCATCGGCCCCCTCGCGTATGGTCTATCTAGGTTTATGTGTGGCTACATTTAACATTACAAGTGTGTTAATTTCGTTACTTGCATGGTGGAGACTCAAGGTATCATCAGTAGACTGAGGCCAAGATTTTAACGACTGGTTTTGTCACACATGTTGTGAAGTGACAACACACATTTGGGGAAAAGTTCTTTAAAGTGAAAACCTCTCAATAACCAACATTAGTTTCTTTAAATCCAGACACAGATATCAGTGTATTAAGCCGCTAGTGTGATATAATAATAATATTTTGACAATATTTATTGTTTAAAAGGCAAGTAGATGACCTTCTATACCTGTTATTACCTGCAACCAGCATTAAGTTGGTAACAGAAATTTAGATAAAATAAACAAACATATTAGGTACAATAAAATTACTTAAAAAATTAAATGATGACAATGACTTTGAAATTTGTTTGTCCAATTACATTTAGATTAGGTTAGGTTTAATATTATTAACTACAAGTAAGGTTTGTAGGGCTAAACAATTGTGCTTTTATAGTATATACCACTCCACTATCCATATTCAATTTCAATTTCAATTTCAAAGCCTTTATTTCAACTAATACAAGAGAACAAAATATAAATGTAGGTATATAAAAAAAGAAAAAAGTTTAACAAGCACAGCTGTCCTCTTGTATAGCTTGCCTTTGTGGCACAAAGGCCTCCTCCAACTGTTTCCATTCCTTCCTATCTCTGGCAAGTCTTTGCCACAGAGGACCAGTGGCTTTTTTAAAGTCGTCAGCCCACCGGGCACATGGTCTTCCTCTCTTTCGCTTGGTGTTGTAGCGAGGTGTCCATTGGGTGACTTTTTTCGACCATTTTGCTCTCTGGCCTCTGAGCAGGTGTCCTGTCCATCTCCATTTAAGCCTTTTGGCTCTGGTCATTGCATCTTCCCAGTTGGTGATCCTTCGGAGATCTACAGCTCTTTTCCTATCATTCCGTGTGTAACCTAGTATGCTCCTTTCCATACTTCTCTGGCAAGTCACAAGCTTTTGACTTGTGACTTGCTTAGTGGTCCAAGTTTCGCAGCCGTACGTTAGGATAGGTAAGATACAGGTGTTGAAGATGCTCCTTTTGATCCTAAGTGGGTACTCTTTATTCCTTAGGATGTGTTTTAATGACCAGAATCTTTTCCAGGCATTTGAGGTTCTTCTCTCTATTTCCTGATGGGCTTGTTCTGTCATGGAGATGAGTTGTCCCAAGTATATGTAGGCTGTCACATATTCTAGGTTTTCGTTCTCTAGGATAATAGTATCTGGTGTTCTGTTTGTCATGGCTTTTGTTTTTAATTTGTTCATTGTTAAACCCACTTCTTTGCTTTTGGTTGCCAGTTCTTCGATCATAGTTTGTAGTGTTCTCGGGTTGTCAGTTATGAGCACAATGTCATCTGCAAATCTCAAATGGTTGATCCTTTCTCCATCTATGTTGATACCGCAATCTTCCCAGTGTAGGTTTCTGAAGACTTCTTCCAACACACTAGTAAAGAGCTTAGGCGAAAGAGGGTCTCCCTGTCTGACTCCTTTTTTGAGTGGAAATGATTCTCCCAGCATCTCCAGCTTCACCCTGGCCGAGCACTGGCTGTAGACATTTCCGATGAGTTTAATGTATTTCCCTTCAATGCCTTGGTTTTTTAGCGCTCTCCAAATGCATGGGTGCTCCAAAGAATCGAAAGCTTTGCTGTAGTCGACAAAAGCCAGATACAGGGGATATCCATATTCCTGGCACTTTTCGACAATTTGCTTCAAGGTGTGCATGTGGTCTATTGTGGAGAATCCAGACCGAAATCCGGCTTGCTCGATAGGTTGTTGTTCGTCAAGTTGTTTGGTGATGCGGTTGAGAATGATTTTTGCAAAGACTTTATACACGTTGGACATAAGACTGATAGGACGATAGTTGCTAAGGTCTTCTTTGTCTCCTTTCTTGTGGATGAGGATTATTGTGCTTTGTGTCCATTGTGTAGGTATGTATTCAGTATCCAATATTTCATTGAATAGATTTGTTAATGTTGTTAGTGTGTCCGGAAGTGCAATTTTGATTGTCTCATTTGTTATGTTGTCGGGGCCAGGGGATTTTTCATTTTTCTGTGTCAGGATTGCATATTCGACTTCCCTTTCTAAAACAGGTGGGATAGGTTCTTCGTGTTCTGGGTCAGGGTTGGCATATGTTTCGGAATTGTTGTTACATGAGTACAGTTCTTTAAAGAAGGATGTTGCAGTATCTAGTATTGTTTTTCTATTTGTAACTAAGTTTTTGTCCTGTTTTTTGAGTCTTGGTATCCATTGTTTAGGTGGTTGTAGTTCTTTTAGGGCTTTCCTTATTCCTCCTGTTTTAGTAATATGATTTATTATGCAGTCCATTGTTTTTTTTGCTTTATCCTTTTTTATACTCTTGTTAATTTCTTTGCTGATCCTTGTTATTTCTTTTAATATATCTTTATCCTTTTTGTTCTTGAATAATTCTTTTCTTTCCGAAATTAGTTGTTTGGTCTGTGTGCTTAATATTTCCTTCGTCTGTTGTTTTGGTTTTTTAGCTTGATACATTCTGTTTATTTCTTTATTGTATCTTTCCTGCATTGCGTTCGGCGATTCTAGCAGATGGTTTGCGTCTAATTTGGTAGTAAGGGTGTATTCCTCAGAAGGTAGCACTTGTTTGTAGCGTTGCCTAGATTTAACCTGGTTTTTGGAGTGTAAGGTTGCTCTGACCATTCTGTGGTTGGTGTAGAAGTTGAACTGGTTGATTACCTTTACGTCTTTGAAAGCTTTGGGTTGATTGCTTGTTATGAAATCGATTTCGTTATGGTAGCTACCGTCTGGTGACTTCCAGGTCCATTTTTTGCTAGGTTTTTTCTTAAAGAATGTGTTGAGGATTGCCAGGTTGTTTTCGTGACTCAGATTTACTAGTCGTTCTCCGTTATTATTTCTCTTTCCTATGGTGTATTCGCCGATGATATTTTCTTCTCCTGATCTTTGCTTGCCAATTTTCCCATTAAAGTCTCCCATAATTATTAAGTTTTTTTCTGTTACATCTATTGTTTTGGATAGTTGATGATAGAATGAGTCTTTTGTGGCTTCTTCTGCTTGTTCTGTTGGTGCATACACTTGTATCAAGGTCCAGTGTTCTCTGTAGCCTGTTATCTTTATTTTTAGGATTGCTATTCTTTCTGAGATGCCTGTGAATTCTAGTATGCTGTTCTTGAGTTCCTTTCTGACCATGAAGCCTACTCCGTAGTGTCCTTTTGTCTCTCCAATAGAATATAGAATGTAGTCGTCATGTTCAGTGATTTCTGTTCCTAGTCTTCTGACTTCGCTAAGGCCTAGAATGTTCCATTTAATGTTCTTGAGCGCCTCTTCCAGTTCCATAAGTCGATCGCATGTTCTTAGTGTTAGTACGTTGAGCGTGCCGATATAAATATTGGTGTTTATTTGACTTCGTTGCTTTGGCTCATTAGACTTTGGTAGGTTGGGTTTTGGTGGGTTTGGATTTGGTAGGTTAGGTTTTGGCTGGTTCGTTTGTTTCAATGTGAGTTTTAGAGATCGAGGGTTAGCTGGAGGGTTGCGGTCGTGTTTCCCCACGGAGACCGCTGTCCGGCTTGGGGAAAGGTATTTTTTGTTGGTTGTTTGTATTTGTTCTTTGGTTTTATTTTTGTTTTGATTCCGGGGACCGCTGTGTACTAATTGTTATTGGTTAGATGTTTCAGAAATAGAATTTGTTCTGTGGCGTGTCATTTTTTCAAATGCATTGGTGACAATCATTTTCTTTGGCACCGTCTGCCTTGTACCTTCATGGCAGTCAGATTGCGTTGGTGTTTTTAGATGGTGAGCGCTTCCTTTTCTCAATTGCCTTGGTTGAGTTTGTTTCCTTTATTATGAGTCGGTCATATCGGATGAGGGCCAGATTTCCTTTCTTTCTTTCTTCTTGTTGTAGGGACTTTAATTCTTTTCTTTTCTGCAGTACTTCTTTGGGGTAGTCTTCAGACACGTATATGTTTGCAGGGAATCTTTTGTTGTTTTTTAAGATTTCTATTTTTCTCCATGCTAGAGTAAACTTTATGAGAATAGGCCTGCGTTTCTGGTCGACTTTAGGGCCAAGTCTACGAGCTTCACTTATTTCCCATTTATCAAAGTTGTCCAACTCGCAATCTTTACCCACCTCATTAAGGACCTTCAGGACCAGTTGTAGGAGTTCTGCATTATTGCTTTCGTTTTCCTCTACTCCGTGGAGTATTAAATTATTTTTTCTGACTTCTCTCTCCAGATTTTGCACCTTATTCTTCATAATTGCCACGTCGTTTTGAAGTATTTTATTCTCTTCTACCAACGGTTTCAGTTTTTCTTCTATTGTCGACGCCATACTTTGGGTAAGGCTTTTGGTGAGGGCAGTTGTTTGCTCACGAAATTCGTCCCTAGTATCCTTTTTGTTTTTATTCAGCTTCTCGTCAATTTCCATTATTTTTTCTAGTAGACGTGCCAGCTGTTTCTCCATGGCTGTGAGTTAGCGTAGTACGTGTGTGTGAAATCGATTTTTAGTTGGCAACACTAGTTTCTATGTTATATTTATTTTGCACTCTGGTATGCTTATTTTCGCATTTACGAAAACAATCTTGCGGACACTGCCCTCTATTGTCAAATGTTTTTATTATGAAGTACGTGTCCCTATGTGATTATCTTATTTAAAATGATAAATTGAATATTGATTTAGTTTTTATAAATTTTTAAAAAATCTAATAATATTGTTCTCTACTGAGGTTTGAACTCGTTTCCTATGAGTGATATGGCGGAACTTAACCGATTGACCAAACGTCTGTACTGTATTTGGTTGAAAATGTTGTTCAGGTTACATGCGTCACCGAAACTAAATGAGTCAGAGTTATACCAAGACACGTGTACCGTTACTTCTTGCACAAATTAGTTTACTTCGCACTATTTCACTTTAGTGTTGTTCTTTGTTGATATGTTGAGCACTGCACAATTCATGCACTTTAGGGTATTTTTTCAACACAAATTACCTACAAACGTCACTCGGTTAAAGCGTTGTGATTTTGGGAAATACTAATGCTTTTACAATGTTTCTGGGCGGAATAACATTTACACTTTTTTATCTTGTAATATTACACCACTTTTTGTTCTTTTGGAACGATATTAGTACTTGTATGATTTTAAAATACAAAGAAATTGGGACACGATACGAGTTGTTTCACGGTCTACCACTCCACTATCCATATATATAATATAAATATACACATAGTCCACTCTGACTATGTGTATATTTATATTTGTAGGAGTTACATACTATTTTTTTATTCTGAATATACAGTCATAAGTTTGATGTCTGTGATTTGTATGGATTAAAAGAAGCATTTTTTTTTAGAAATGTATAACTCTTTACATGAACCATGGCATGTCTGGACTTATTGGTAATTTTTCTTAATAGACCTTAAAGTCCTCGAGGCCTTTTCAATGTAAATAAATTTTTATTTTACCAACAATTTCTTGTGAAATGCCTAGTTTGTATACCACAAATGTTACCAACTTTAGATTTTTAATTTTTACCATGTGTATGGTTTTAAAGATTTAACAAACATTACAAGAATATTACCTGATTCACAATAGCTTCAACAAGGGCCCTCGTGTAAGAAGCATTATGTAATGTGGACGCAAACATGTCCACTATGGAGCCGCAGAGAATGTCAAATTTACCAGGGTCAAATGTTATCTCACACATTACGGTGATTAGGTAACCAATGTGCTCCTAGAAATAATGTTATTATAAACAAAATATATTTTATATATAACAAAGTCTGTATACTCATAAGCTGGATCTCATTTGTAATGTGGAAATTAATAAGACAGTAATTTGCAATCTTATATAAATTAAGTTTTCCTCAATAAACACTACTATTATATTGCATTCACTTTACAAATTAATCAAGTACAATTAATATATTCCTACCTAAGGAACATTTCTACATAATCACTTTCATACTGTCTTTATTTGAATAATGATATAGGGTTTTATTAAAAGAGGAGCTAAAAGAAGTACAAATGTTACATCAATGCATTCACAGTGACGTTTATGAATATAACTGTTGCAATCATAATCAAAACTTAGGAATAGTGTTAAACATACCCTTAAGTCCATATTCTCTGCTTCATCTAAATATTGCGACATTTCATTCAAGTTGTATGGGTTCTGGTCTTGTGCTTGGCGGAGTCGATTCTGCACTGAAAACTTTTGCACTCTATACTGGCTATCATCTGGTGTGTAGCTTGCAGGTGCTTGGGGTACATAGTTTGGAGGATACCATTCCTTTGCCTCTGCAGATAGAGTTGACTTCGGCGCTTCTACTGGAACGCAATACATAGTGCTTAATGATTTTTTTTTAATTCAGATAAGTACTAACCTAAAATCTGGTTGGTTGGTGATTACTACAAAAATAGTAGGCATATCAAAATGACTGGCCACACAACCGGCCGCTTTCTGTCATGCCATGTCTACGTCATCGTAATGAAAATCATCAAGACACTTTCACCTAAGTTTTGAATAAAGTTAACGAACGGAGCGCGTAATCAGGACTCAAGAGAAAGTTTGACCTCTTATAATGACACAAATTATGTACCTTTTGTTTCATCAGGTACAGCTTTAGGACGACGCAACTCCTTTGGAGGATTATCGGGTTGCTGCCAACCGCGACCTCTTCCCCTCGAACCGACATCCTGGTTTAAGCTCATTTCCAACTATATTCGCGATTTTGATATTTTAACTTATTCGTTGGTAAAAAATTGCACAAATATGCCATAAAATATGGCAATTTGGACACTCGCTTTAATGAATTCGTTCGACACGTAAACAAAGGCAAACACTTCGTTCAGAGTGGCACCTCCATTTGTGAATCGTGTAAGTGGAATGAAAAATCTTATTTGTCTTTGAAAGAGCGAGATAGTCTATTATTTGTATGTCACGTTTCAATACACGCAATTTCTGATCACAAAAAAGCTCTAATAATATATTTCTCTAAATAACTTTATTTTTCTAAAATGCTTAATGTTTTAGTTTAGACTATAATAACAATAAGAAATTAAGAATAATATTATACTTAGTAGTTTATTCATATGATATCATCTACCTTAAGCAATATAAATTTGTAATATATTTTGAGTGTATAACTAAATAGCTAATCAAAATGTACCAATTATCTTTAAGGTAGAGATGATTTTTGGAAAAATTAGTTATGTTCATCATAAAATATTTTCATATCACATCATTAAGTGGTATTAAAGTTTTATCTGTTCTGGTATTGAGTTCAAATAAATAGTTGAATATTATTATTTTTTACCAGTTTGTTTGTATGTTAACTTTTCTTACCATTGATATTTAAACTAAGATTATTAATGGTGTGATAACTTTATTTGCATATAACAAGAATAACCTCAAATGGTTAGATAATTTAATAAATTGAACCAGCAATAATTTTTCTATTATACTATAATTAATAAAAAATAAAATACTAACTATATATACATAGTACTATTTCCTCATTGCAATTGTAAAACAAAATGTAGCAAGAGGTAACAGAAAGTAATCTTAGCTAAATTTATTACAGAACTAGTTAAACGGTCTATCATCACATAAAAAACAATTTTATATACTAAAAGATTCTCCACAACCGCAGGTGCCTTTGATATTTGGATTATTGAATACAAACTCTGACGACAATTTGTCTTCCACAAAATCCATTTCAGTACCTGAAATCAAAATTAATGGTAAAGTTCTTAAATTGTGTCAATTTATAAATATTAAATAGGATAATGAATTATTACAAACCTAATAATGTCAACTGTGCCTTTCTATCAATTATAATAGTCACCCCATCCTGCTTAACTTCTTCATCAAGCTTGCCCTTTTCTTTTGCATAATCTAATGTGTACGATAGTCCATTGCAACCCCTTTGACGTACTCCTACTTTCAATCCTATAAAACCCTTTGCATTTTCTTTTGCCATAATTTCTCTTACTTTCTGAACAGCTGACTGAGTTAGGACTAGAGCAGCTCGTGAAGGTAGAACGCGTTTCTTCACAGCTCTGACCGTCGCACTTGCTATTGTTTTAGTGGCCATCTATAAGCAGTAATAAGAACTCGGATGAAATAAGAATAAAATATCATTGGGATATTAAGAATTAATAAGGTTTTAACAACATTGGAACATCAAGTTTTATTATGTACCCTAATAAATTCAACGCTATATTGAGGGAATGCACTGTCTTGATAAGTAATAATATTATGCAACTTCACCTTATTCTTCTGTAAATCTTTATTCAAATTTCAAAACACAAAATATAAGTTGACATTTTGAAAATTTAGAAATCAAATCGTAATTGAAAGTCTGAACTCTGAGTTAAATTTGACAACTTGTCATTGAAGTTGGTTCGTGGATTGAGAAAAATCAAAAGAGTAAGGAAAATGGAAATACACGAAGAAGCTCTTGCCATACATAATATTATTTACCTGTAATTTATTTACACTGCCACAGGGACCAAACTTTTTAAATTTGTTTTGATTTTCTTTTTAATAATTTTTATTATTACTTTGTATGTAAAGAAAATTGTAAATACTGTATACTTGATTGTAAATAAAATAAAATAAAAATATTATTTACCTGTGGCATTTTTAGTTCAAAGCGTCAAATAATATATATTTTTCCCTTTCTTCTCTCGTTCCATTGCATTTGACGAAAGACAAACATTTTTTAGTTGAACCTAACTAAAAAGTAAAATCACTCAAATATGTGACAAAAAATAGCATATATACCCGAAATTAAATTTTAAGCATATTTACTGTTATTCAATTGTATTATTCGGATTGACTGCGTTAGGCCCTTTCTCCACTGCTCCGGTCTGGCGTCGGATACCGGAATGAGTCATGAGAAAAATATCGGAAGGCCGGATTGCGCTTCTCCACTATATCCGATCCGACAATAATCGATACTTGTATATTTATCATGCAACACTTATATTAACTAAAACCCACATACTTTATTTTATTAATAAAACGTTCTAAATTCTGAATATTTAATTGCCCTGGCAAGTTTATTACTTTTTTTATATTCTCTATCTTAAAATATTATAATCTACTTAATAAATAATTCACTATGGTATAAAAATGTAAATAAATAGCAACATAATTTGGTTTGGTCCAGGTTATCCAGATTCTTTCAAATTAAAGAAACTAGAAATAAACCTGGGAATAATAATTTATAACCTCTTGGATACTTGGACTGATAAAACACCGCGTTCCGATCTAGCAAGTTATGGGATCGTTAAAAACCGGATGCCGGAGTAGTGGAGAAGTACATAAGTAGGGCCTTAGTCAAGATGCCTTAACAGTAGTGTATGTAGAAAGTCGAAAACTTAATTTGTATGGAAATGACAGTTCGTGTCGAAAAGTTTTCATACAAATTTAGTTTTTGACGTTCTACATACACTACTGTTAAAGAAGTCTAAAAGACTAGTAGCTAAATATATTATATTGTCACAGTACCGTACGTTTAAAAAAATTTAAATGACACGTCAGTTTCACTGCTATTGACACTTAATGCATGTTGTGTGATGTCAGCTGAATTTTTAAGTTTTAAAGTAATAAAATAATGTACCTAAATTGTAAATTGTGTTATAATATTTAATTAATAATGGGAGGACAAAAATTCGAATACGATGAGAGTGGATCTACATTCTTTTATTTTGTTTTATCATTTCTTGCATTAATTTTGGTTCCGGCGACATTTTATTACTGGCCAAGGAAACGAAAAGAAGGTAAATTCCACGATTTTTTTACTCGGTGATTTAGTTTTTGCTTAGGCTTTGTTGTTGAATACTGTAATAATAAGATTTTCAGTCATCAGTAACAAGAAATGCCAAGGCCTTTGAATGTACTGTTATATTGGAATAAATTTGGTTGTACACCACATTTTTATAATACTATTATGATAAATTTTGTTTTTACAGATCCAGAAAAATTAGCTGAACAATGTCAGTGTCCAAGTTGTTTAAAGAAAAAGATAATTATAGAACAATCACAACCATACAAAAACTTCAAAAATTTCCTTATTATATTGGCTATAGTATCAGGGTGGGTTCTATTAGGATTTCTTACAGTCAAAGTTTCCCAATTTGATTATGAAATGTCCAATTTTGATCCATATGATATTTTGGGTTTGCCGCCTGGCGCTACTCAAGCTGAAATTAAGAAATCCTATCGTAAACAGTCTCTTATATTGCACCCTGACAAAGAGACAGGAGATGAAAAAGCATTTATGAGATTAACAAAGGCCTATCAAGTAAGTATAACTTCTTTAACATAGTCGATTTGTATGTACATCCCCACCTTTAATGAATAAAGTTAAATACCTTTATAAGTGAGAAATTATTAATATTGAAAGATTTTTTAACTTCAAGAATTCCTAGAAATATCTTCATGGCTATTTAATTGATTGGTTAAGCTGATAACCCAGTATACAATTTGCATTTATTATCAAAATGTTTCTTTTGTAGTAATTAAATAATAAAAAAGTAAATAAATTAATTTGCATGATATAAAAAAATGTTGATATATATATATAATTAACATGTTAAAGTTTAATAATTACCTGACATTTTTAAGGCATTAACGGATGATGAAGCTAGAAGAAATTGGGAGAAATATGGTAACCCTGATGGACCAGGTGCTATGAGTTTTGGCATAGCCCTGCCGAGTTGGATAGTAGAAAAGGAAAATAGTGTGTGGGTGCTTGGGTTATATGCACTTGTTTTTATGGTGGCTCTTCCCACTGTTGTAAGTTTTATTTGAATTATTATAATTTAATTGTATCATATGTTTTAATAAAAATTATAAATAATGTGAACATGAAAATCAGCACACTTGTTTGTTGTTGCAATAATATAAAGTGTTCATGAAAATTAATTGATCAGTTGGAACTGAAAGACTCAATTTGTTTTTAAGGTGTTAACTTTATTAACACCTTAAAAACTACAAGACTAGGCTGGAATATCATCCTAACCACCTAGCTGTTCAACTCACCCTACCGGAGTATATAAACCACTCAAAAGCGAAAACCTTGAGCTCAGCAGCATTGACTGAGCTAATATTATTATGGTAGATATTCCTAATGAGGAATATCTCCCCCCCAAACCATCCTACAACTCATCTCTCATAGTCAGAAGACTGATTGCACGATGCGCTCCATTAAAAAAAAAAAAACTTTATTACTGGACTTAATGTACCATAACCCCTAGATGGGGCAGTGATTCTCCATTGCGTTCTGTCTTGAGCCTTGCATATAATCTTCTACAAGTTTTACCGGCTCTTTTTGCCTCATATGCAATTGTACGAGGTCAGGTTTGCCTGTGAAGGCGGACAGCGGTTGACGAAGACTTAGAGTCGGTGATATCTTTAGTGACCTTCCACGTTTCACACCCATAGAGCAGTGTAGATTTGACGTTGGATTCGAATACTTTAACTTTGATTCGACGCGTCAACATCCGTGGTAGTCGCCATACAGGCCGAAGTTGTTTGAAGGTTGCTCAGGGCTTGGCAATGCGTGATGTAATGTCTTCTTCTGTACCTCCAGTTTCAGACACGACGTTTACCTTTAATTAAGGTTTACCTCGGTAGCGTCGAGAATGATTCTTCAAAAGAAATGAACTTAAATGATGAAATTTAAGTTTATTTCTTTCTAAACTGGCTCTATAAAAGTAGAAATCCTTCTTTAAAATTGTTACAAAAACACTTTTGCACTCTGCTTTAACACATATTTAAGTGCACTGAATGAGCACAAATCGCATGTCAGCGATAAGGCCACCCATTGCCTCATAACTTATGTAACCTGATTTTTAAATGTATGTCTTTGGGTAAGGTAACAAAGTGTCATAAATAAATAAAATAATATTAAATATAACCAAATTTTAAATTACAGGTGGGTACTTGGTGGTATCGCTCCATACGTTACTCTGGTGAACAAGTGTTGCTAGATACAACTCAGATGTATTTCTTTTTCTGTCATAAAACTCCGTCTATGCCATTGAAAAGGGCCCTTATGATACTTGCAGCTTCATGTGAGTTTGATAAAAGGCATAACTCAGAAATAATCGAGAGAATAACAGACAATGAAGAAGTGCCGAGTGTAAGTATTTGTAGACTATAGTTTTAATGTAAATGATACTTCAATACTTTTTATTACTAGGGTAATAAATTATTATCTTGGTTTAAGTGCACATATTATGCAATGTTTTATTATATTTAACATGCCTGTGTTTAAATTGATGGCATATTGGCCTGCAAATGTGATATCATCACTTAAAAATTTACTTTTTGTGATTATCCTAATGATTTAAAATAAAAAACCGTATATTAGAAATTCAATGATATTTTAATCATGCCGCGAAAAAGCAAAAATCCAGTGAAATATTGCAACTTTATAATTGATGGTGTCTGTGGCATTACTTCAGTAGACAATACTTGAAAGTACTTAAAATGTTGAATTATTAAATGAAAAAAACCAAACCTTTTTACTTGTGTGTCTCGAATGCAGTACATAACATTTAAACTACAATTTAAATTATATATAGGCAAAAAATTTGGTTAGATCGTAATGTCAACTGATGTCTCACTTCAGAGACAATTTGCATTTAAAAAGTGGGAACTATGCAACCCAAAACAAAATAGCATTTCAATTTTTTAATTTCGATTTAAAAAAATTCAATTGTATTGGTAACTACACTTATAATATTACAGTTGAAAAATTAGGGGCATAGAGCAGGCTATCTCTGCTACTCTTTTTAAAAGTATATTTGCGGCTTTGGTCTAGTGGTTAGTACCCCTGACTGCGAATTCATGGGTCCCGGGTTCGATCCCCGGCTGAGACAAACATCGATGTGATGAGCATTTGGTGTTGTGCTTAGGTCTTGGGTGTTTAAATATGTATTTATATGTGTTAGGTCTATCTATGTATAATATGTATGTATATCCGTTGCCTAGTACCCATAACACAAGCTTCACCAGCTTAGCATGGGACAATTGGTGTGAATTGACCAATCATAAAAAAAATATATATATATATTCCTTTTAGTTACTACGGGATCTGCCAAACCTGGGCGAGAAAAACAAAGAGCAACCATTATGTAGACCATACAGTATTAAAGCTAGAGCTCTACTACACGCACATTTGTCACGTATGAAGTTACCAGAAGACACGTTGGAAGTGGATAGACGGTATATTGTGTCACGGTGCCCGGATCTCATTGTTGAGATGGTCAACTGTGTGAACCAGCTCATTGCATTGGCTTATGCTAGACGAAGTAAGTTTCTTTTCTGCAATTATTTACTAACCTTACCTATACAGACATTCTCACTAAGATAGACCAATTAAAATGGAGATGGGCGGGTCATATGGCCGATAACGTAAAAGATGGTATGACGAATTCAACTAACAGCAGGCTACAACTAAGGATAGAGAACAGGATGGAAAGCTTTAGAGGAGGCCTTTGCCAAGAGGCACATCGGACTCCGAGATATAGTGTAGTGTGAATATATTAAAGATCACAGATCGCAGAGTTTTGGAATATAAAGGCTTTATTATTATTATAACCTTAGGGAGCGTTCAAGTATTACGTCACGCAATTTTTGGAGATTATTGACCCCACCTCCATGTGACGCGCCGTAACGTTTTTCTGTACCCAATAGTAAAACGTTTCATGACCACCTAGTGATTCTTTATACCTAAAATTTACCATTATGTGGTGTAAAGTACTGGAAAGTCGAAAAAAAATATTAACAATAACGCGTAATTCAATCCCCGCCCAGCATCGTAACGTTTTACAAAAGGACACCCCCTCCCAAAATTCTTTACGTAATACTTGAACGCTCCCTTACCTATATACTAGATGATATTTACAAATTTGTACCAGTAAACACGAATGGTTTTTATCGGGATAGAAATTTATGTTCAATAACAATTTTTACTTTAGCATTTTGTATAAAAACCCATGTCATAAATAATCAATTAATGATAAATAAAGTGTTTAATCATACTTTATGGATTTACCCGTAATATAATATTTTAAAATATAATCATATGTTTATTTATTCAGCCTTCCTATTTGGTTGTTAAAAACTAAATTTTAATACAATTTAATTAAAACATAATTTTAACATTTTTATCCAAATATTATCACATATATATTTAATAGAAAGAAAAAGTATGCTAAAATAGTACAGTTCAATTGTTAATCGTTTCGTTAACACTGATTTATGCTTTTATCAGAGAATTGTTGTATACAGTATTCCCCCCTATAACGCAGAGATATTTTTCTATAGTGTGAAATTTATAATTACTTGTCATGTCCATAATTAGTTTTGCGTAACTTTGAACCTGTTTCAATTGTGTTATAAAATTAAACTAAATAACTTCATTAAATTCATGTTCCTAGTTTTTGAATTCTTAAAAAAAAAACGGTTTTACGATAATATTCCTACAACGTGATTGCCTATAACGCGGTCTGAGTCTACAGCGTTAAAGGGGTTACTGTAACATAGATTAAAGTTTTAAAGAAAGTTAATATATATTGAATATTTCAGTACCTCGTCTCCCAACAATAGAAACAATAGAAAACTGTATGAAACTGTCACCTATGATTGTGCAAGGACTTTGGGAGTACAAGTCTCCATTGTTACAACTGCCATACATAACCGAGGATCATTTAAAATACTTTACAAATAGAAAAAAGCATATTAAATCACTTCTCCAATTAGCACAATTACCAGGAGATGAGAGGCGACAGCTGTTAAGGTTTTTGAATGATGAACAATACGAGGATCTTGTTAAAGTGCTGGGAAATATGCCGTACATACATTTCCAGGTCAATACTGAAGGTAGGTTCATCCTTTTCACAATACATTTTATATTAAACCAGCTGCCCCCGCGAACTTCGCTTCTCGTTAATGCCTAGGCTACCTTTTTAGTACATACCAACATGGAACATTTTGCTTTGCTACCCCAGAGACCGTTCGGTTTTCCGGTTTTTCTTAACTAACAAATAAAAATTAAGGGTTGTATGTATTTTTGTATGCTGTATCATAAAAAAATAAAAATAAAAATATTTTGCGGTTGACACCCTTTATCACTTAGGGGCTTGAAAGATAGATAGTAGCCGATTATCAGACTTACTGAATATCCTAAAAAAAATTATAAGAATCGGTCTAGCCGTTTCGGAGGAGTATGGGAACGAATATTGTGACACGAGAATTTTATATATTAGATTGTATGTACATGTTTTTTTAACTGACTTAAAAAATAAAGGTTATCTTTGGGGTTTAATTTTAACAATATTATATAACATTGACCGATTAAATATTTTTTAGATAGTTTTAGAACATATAATGAAGTTACACATGGTCCTTGGTTCGATTTTCAGCAATCAGTTTTTTATTTTGCAATGTACTTTATAATCAGTGCCTATCATGATTAATAAAATCTACCTGACATTAAGACATTTAATAATTTTTCTTTCTTTCCTTTTTTTTTGTTTTCGGTTAATAGTCAGAGATTAGGTAGAGATAGGTATAAGTGTTTCTGTGTAAAAAATTATCAAGATTCTATTAAATGTTTTTATTTACACGAATGTCATAGTAAATATAAAATTCATTATCGTGTATTATTTATTTTATTTTATTTATTTATACTTCGTAGCAAATAAAAGAAACACAATACATAATGATTATAAGGGATGCAACGGGCGGCCTTATCGCTAATAAGCGATCTCTTCCAGGCAACCCTAGTTAAAGAGAAAAATTAAAAAAAAAAAGAAACAACAAACACAAATCTTAATATATATATTTCTTCTGTGCGTGTGTATGTGACTGAACTTCTCTCAAACGACTGGACCGATTTTGATGAAATTTTTTGTGTGTGTTCAAGGGGATCTGGGAATGGTTTAGATTCACAAATCAGCCCGGTAGATGGCACTGCAGTCGGTACTTTCATACTTTGCTTAATATCCAAATCGCTTTAAATATCATGCAGGACAACGTCTGTGGGGTCCACTAGTATTACTATAATATTTTTGTACAATATAATTATAATATTTATACATTAGAAGTGCTATACACGAAACCTAAGACCACGTGAAACTGTATGCTGTTATACATGTAAAGCATTTAATATGTAAATTAATGATTTCAGTGATAGATGACGAGAACTCTACAGTGGTAACAGCGGGTGCAATTGTCACTGTCACAGTACTATTACAGAGAACGAATATGAAAGAACTTTTTGGTGATAGCAGTATCAGAGAGAAAAATAAGATAAAGTAAGTCCAAATTTAATTTTTAAAGATTCTACGGGGTCATTGCCCTCAAATGATTGTGTATTCTTGATATGTGTTAACATTAAAACAATTGTGTGTTTAATTGTATTAAACTAACGAAAGAAGTGTTGGCCTAGTGGCATCAGCGTGCGGCTCTCATGCCTGAGGTCGTATGTTCGATCCCCGGCTGTGCACCAATTGATTTTCTTTCTTTGTGCGCATTTAACATATGCTCGAACGGTGAAGGGAAACATCATGAGGAAACCGACATGTCCACCCAAAAAGTCGACGGCGTGTGTCAGGCACTGGAGGCTGATCACTTACTTCCCTATTAGATTTAAAAATTATTATGAAACAGATTCAGAAATCTAAGGGTCCAGAACTAACAAAGTTGTAGCAACACTGATTTATTTTTATTTAAACTAGTAAAACAATTAATGCTTAATTTTAGTAATTCAAGTGACTCTAGTTACAATTCCGAACATTACATTAATAAATTAATACAATTATTAATAGTATTTGTTTCGAGAAATAGCTATAACTGGCATTACCTTACTTTAAAATGTGTCTTAAACTTACTTTAGTTTGATCGTAGATCAATGGTATTTGTATGAAAATTTCAACGATAGCATGATATTTGACCACCATCTTATGAATACAATTTTACTTTAATTTTTTTACTTTTAACGAGGCAAGGCTGTACATTTGACTTTTATAAGCATGGTAATTATTAATATTATTTAAATTGTAGAGTATTGCCAGATGCAATCACTTTCTTCAGATTTTTTTTACACACACAATGCCTGAGAGCTCGCGAGTGCTTTGCCGGCATTTCATTACAGAGCAGTAATATAATTTATTAAAATAGTATTATTAAGTAATATACTCTATTATTTAAAGCATCCCGTTGACTCAGTATCCATACAGTACTCTTTCATCTTATTCCGAAGACTTATATTTCCGCTGTGATGAAAAGAGAGATGAGTATTTTATTAAGCCTGATTTTTTATAAGTGAAACAGTCTTTGAAATGAGGAATAGGGCATGTTTTGCATTGTTTCATGGTCTTTTAAGCGGGAAAAGCTCTTTTTAATTTTATTTATACAAATTTTTTTTTTTACAATCCGTGAATTTCTATAAATCAGGGAAGAAGAAGAAAACGTCGAAGGTGAAGATAAAGAAAAGGATAAGGACAAGAAAGATGTGTTCAAGCGGCCGGTTTGGATGAAACAAGGCAAGAAAATGCAGAAGAAAGGCAAAAAAGTCGTCAAACAAGTTAAGGCAGCGCCACCTACACCCCCACCAGCTGATGTTAAGAAGAAAGAAAAAGAACCAAAGAAGAAGGATGAAGATGGTATATAATTATCTTAGTAAATAAATTCGGCCTGGTTCGAACATTTATAAATCAAAAACGACTGGTCAGATTTTGATGGGTTTTGTAGGTATATGAAAAGTATATCAAAATATACAACAAATTACAAATGAACAAATTTTAGACCACATTTTACTAAAGTATTTTTGTAGGAAAAATATATTTATAATAAAAACAAATCGTTTAAAATCTTTAAATTATTTTATGGGCGTATTTCGGATGATTCGTAAGTTAGAAGTAAAGCCTTTTTATGGTTATAGAATCTTTATTTCTGTTAGAACTTAATTTAAAATTAATCTCTATGCACCGACTATTAACAGTTACACACATAAAAAAACAAGACAAAATAATACATATAGATGTAATAAATAACACACAAATTCACAATTTATTGTCAGACATAAATCTTTTGTCGTATTTCAGGCGAAGAATCAGATGCGAACAGTTCCGATGAGTCGGGCTCGCATAGCGACGCGTCGGCGAACGAGTCGCGCGATAAGTCGTCCCCGGAGGATGATGATGATGACCAGTGGGAGAAGTTCCAGAAGAGACTGCAGAAGCGGGAAAGACTTGAGGGGAGATCTAAGAGTTCCCATCCTGTACACTGTCCTTACTTCCCATTGGTAAGTGTAGTCAAATATATTGGCTGTGGTGGGGCATGGGGCAGTCATGGTTTACGTCAGTTTTGTGTTATATGAAATTTATACTACAGTGTAAACTCTTTATAACGTCATTCGTTATAACGAAAAAGTGTCTATAACGTAAAAAAGATATAAATTGATTGGTAAAAAAGGCACCTGAGGTCATAAACAGCCGTCTCGCCTTTGTTATTGTTAATTGCATTAACACGTGTGCCATTATTCTTAGATTACATTGCCTGTAGGAAATTTTGGTCTTATTTACTAAACGCACCATTGTCACCTACCTGTATATATATATTTCAATTATTGTAATTGGTTAAATTTAATGTTTTTGAAGTGAAACTTCTTTATCGAGGTTGGAAAAAAAATTAGTGTAACATTTTTTCGTTACGCTACATTATTCGGTTACGCGCCATGTTGCTTTTTGAAGTCAAACTTTTTATCAGCGTTGGAATGAAACTTTTTTTCCCCCGTAGGGGAAAATTTTTTTGTAGAAATCGTCACGTTTTTCAATGATAGTAATAATTCTATTAAAATTAATGAAATTCTATAATAATCTTCGTAGTAATAAGGTAAAATGAAATATTTGTATTAATGCCTATGATAATAAAAGCCTTTTGTTAAACTTTATCTAATTTAACGAATTTCTGTAAAGTTGCAAATAGTAGATCATTTTTCGAAAAATAAGATCATAAAGAAGTTTCACCTTTCCTATATAACGACGAAAAATGTTCGGTCTCTTGAAATTCGTTATAAAGAGTTGTCACTGTATATATGTATATCGGAGAAATGTCATTCCATCGATATTGATATCGTCAAAGTGTGAGCACAAAAGACACGATAATGATCGTACAATATTTAATTTAGATTGATTTCCTTTCCTAAAGAGAACAACCACCACTGTTCGAAACTCAAGATGGTGTCTCGAGCTCTGCTCTGCTCTGATTGGTCGTAACAATATTCGTACGAATTTCTGAGTATGGTGATATTACTAAAAGAAATAAAAAATAAATTGACTGAAAACAAAACAAAGTTTGACTTATTGATATTTTAGATTGTAATTAGACGAAAAAAATATGAAAAATTTGCGTTTGTTTTTAGGAGACCAATTGTAAGATATTTTTCAAAATCTGTGGTTTTCATTTTTAATTATTAACTATTTAAATTAATGTTTATTTACACCTGATCGTTCTATGTGATCGTATTATTCGGCACTATGTGGACGTAAAATCGCCACGGTGATCTCGAGGTATTTTTTAATGTATTAAATTTTATTTAATAAATTCTAAAATTTGAATTATTACTGGAACAAAAGCAAACTATATACCAAAATTATCCGAAAAATCATAAAATTACTTTAGGACAAAGAACTAATTTTTTTTGCCGTAAAAAATCCTGCCAAAATCCACAAAATCTTCGTTGGCGGATAATTTCCTTTAAATTTAGTAATTTAAAGAAAATCGTATTGACAGGAGAAACAAGAGTTCTGGTGGTGTTATATTTGCGATCGCAAATCTCACACGCTCCTAACTGCGCCGGCGCACGTGACAGCGCTCGTCGACTCGCACGAACTTCAGCTGAGATTCACAGCGCCCCGTTGGCCTGGTGTCTACACGCTGGCTTGCTGCCTTAGATCTGGTATGTTCTTAAGTGTTTTTAATAAAACATAATTTTATTTCTCAAAGACATTAAGTTTAGCAAGTTTTAAGACCGCGTAACGAGAAAGAGTATAGTGAAGTAATATATTTATGTTTTACATTCGTTTTATAGAGGAAATTATAGGTTGAAAATAAACTATATAAACCTAAAAATATTGTTTACTAATAATCAAGCATAGATTTTTTACAGTAAAGTGTAGGTAGGAGTCGCATCTGATGTTACATCGCAGGCATTATGTGACTTTCAAATTGCCAATAGCTCCAACAAGTGTGTTGCCAGCACAACATAGGTAAATGCATAGAAATTGGGTTTTTATGTGTGGTAAAAACATTCGAATTATTCCATTAAATTTACGATTTTTATCAGACAAAGATATAGAAACCCTTGTTTTTATCATTTTGTTATTTTATAGGTATTGTTGTTAAATAAACAATGGACGGGAATTAATAGGTTGTGAAGGCCATTTGGACTGCCCATCAAAATTTTTTTGAATAATATCAGTATTGAAAAGACCGCGTAACTTTGGAGCAATCCGAGGAGTACTAGGATGTTAAGATATTCCAATTGTAGTCTTCTAATTTTCCCTCTTTGTGCAGTGTGTAGTTTACGTTGGTCGGGAACTTGCAGAACGCGTAGCGATTGTTTTACTGAGGTTAATCAACCATAGCTTTCATATTTTATTGCTAACAGAAGGGAACATGGGCTAGTAGGCTGACCAGATGTTAAGTGATCTGCAATGACCCATACGACACTTAGATCTGCCAGAAGACTTCCAAGTAGTTAGACCGTTCTTTGGATAATTCGCTTGGGGCAGGATCCAACATTGCTCTTTACTTAAAGGACCCATTTTTATGTCGGAATTGCTTCGGTTTAAAATACTTTCAATGTGCCTTCAGTAATGTAACCAACAGTGCGTGTTGCTGATTTTGCTTCAGTAACTCGTGAGGCATCCTTCAAGATTATAATCTTGTATGGGTTTAAAATGTATTGTTTTATATTTACCGCAGCCTGATGCATAAATCGGGTATGGATCCGCAGCAGGATATGAATACTGGATTGTGAAGGAGGCGCAGGGCAGTTCCAGCTGAACATTTCCACAAAAGTTGGGACCAAACACGGACTGCGTTTTCGTTTGCATAATGACCAGGCATATCCATTATTAAAGATTACTAGCCGTTTCCGCCCACTAGTGCCCGGCGGAACTCGTACTCGAAATAATGCATCTTTAAGTTTTCCATTTTTAATGTGTGACAATTTAAATCTGTTTAACAAATATGACGCAAGCACAAAAATGAGTAAATAGCTTTCAAATTTTAATTCGAATTTTTAACAGATGTTGACATATTAGAGGTTCTAAGTGGCCAAAAGCCTAAACCCGAATGTTTCCGCGGTGGCTAATAATTTGCACTCCTTTATGAGGACCCTAAGTCGAATTCTTCATAAAATTAAAACAGTATTATTAAATGCTGTTAGCTGTTTTTATATTGTGAAGGAACTTGGTGTTCGAGATTTAATAATTAAATAGCCTTAAACCATCTATTGTTTGAAAAATTTGCATCGAATGGATCACGCAGTAGATTTCATGTCGATGTGAAGACGAGCAGTGGTTCAGGAACATCCAAGGGGACCTCAAACGTATAATGACCAGGTATTTTTTTTATTATTTACGATTATTCTTGAAATCTGTCGTATTTTTTTTGTGTAACAGGAGGCAAACGGACAGGAGGCTCATCTGATGTTAAGTGATACCGCCGCCCATGGACACTCACATTGCCAGAAGGCTCGCAAGTGCGTTACCGGCCTTTTGATGTACTCAATTGAAACTGGCGATGTCGGGTTGGGTAGGGCTTGTCGGACATACCTGGACCAACTCCAGGAGATACTAAACGGGACAGGTCAAATTACCCATAACCAATGCATGGTGAATGTCATGAAAGTGGATGAAGCGAGAGAATGTCAGGACCGTAGCAAGTGGAAATCCGTGTCTTGAATATATAAATAAATAATACTCAATTAAAAACTCAAATAAATCATACAATGACGGGAAAGTATAATTAATAAATAAAACAGCAAAATCGTATTGGTAACTTTTAAAATGGTCGCGTGACACTCAGGATTGTTTGTCAAGAGTCGGTAAAAAGTCGGTAAGCAGTACAGCACGCACACAAATGAAATTTCCTATCTATGAGAGCACTCTCTTCGACTGTTACATCCATTCGTTACATACCAATTAACATTTCATTATTTCGCTTTTATTCTGTTGTTGCACGCGAGTGGTTAATATAGAGTAGAACTAAAATCCTCTATTTAAAGCACCCCAATGACCCAGGAAGCGTACAGTACTATTAGTTTTCGATAGATGGTGCTGAATTATATTAGATTTTTTTGACAGTTCTGTTGTACACAAAGCACTACAAAATACCTTCCGTATCACCTCGACGTTCCTCAACTGACCATTTTTTATGGCAGTTTTTGCCACGCACCACTATTTGTAACCAACTGCCTACTGAAGTATTTCCGAACCAATTCGACTTAGGGTCCTTCATGAACGTACCAATTCTTAAAAGGTATCACCTAACATCAGGTGAGCCTCCTGTCTGCCCCTTGATATATAAAATAACAAGAAAATCTTAATACTTAAGTTTTATTTAAGAATTGGATTCTTTTATTATTTCTCATTTTGGAAGACGTTATCTCACTTTCGCTAGTGTTGTTTTAAGCAAGATTAGTTGTTATATTTGTATGTGTACCAAACTGTATATTCTGATAAAAATTCTTATGTCTTCTTCTTTGTCTAAATTCATTACTGAAGGTCGTGATATCTTAAAAAGCCCTAAGCGATACACCGACTTGCCGCCTCCACACCACCCTCTATCCTCAACTTGTCTCAGTGTGTTAGGGATGTTGACACCCATAATTGTCTTTACCTGGGCAGACCAATGGGTAGACGATCGACCCCGACTTCTCCTGCCATCACTCCTCCCTACCATTACCAACTTGTCGAGACTATTTGGTTCTCTCCTGGCAATATCGCCAAAGTACCTAAGCACCCGTTTGTAAATGATTGTCGACTGTCTTGTGATTTTTAGTTGGTTGAGAATGGACTTATTGGTTTCAGACAAATATGGCAAATACCAATGTTCTGACGAGTCGGCTCTTGCTCTCCAAAATTTGAGTTAGATATACACTGTAAACTGTTTATAACAAGAATTTCAAGGGACCAAGCATTTTTTCGTTATAGAGTTTTTTCGTTATACGGAGGGAAGAGAAAGAAAACCAAATGTAACCAATTATAATAGATAGGTGACGATGGTGCGTTTAGTAACTGAGACCAAAATTTCCTACAGGCAATGTAATCTAAGAATAATGATACACGTGTTAATGCAATTAACAACAACAAAGGCGAGAAGGCTGTTAATGACCTCAGGTATCTTTCTTAGAAGTTTCGGCACCTCAATAGGTTAATTTTGTAAGCTGATTATAAAAACAATTACATTTAAGTATGTTGTTGATGTCTAAATATGAAAATATTTATTCGTAATAGAGAATGGCTGTTGCGTTATAAAGGGTGAATCAATGTATAGGATTTGTGTTAAACCAAACAAATTTTTCTCATTTTTCGTTGTAACGAATGACGTTATAAAGAGTTTACTGCACTTACACTGTACTATATTTATTTCCAAATAATAAGGAATGTCCAGTCGTACGAAGACGGGACAGGCGGCTTGTATATTGTATTAAATTCTAACGAGCGTAAAATAGCGTGACAATCAGATCGAGACTTACCGCGAACCATGACTCCCATCTGTCAGAATTCATTTATGACGTATGGGAGAAAGACTTAGCGCTAAGTTTCAGAACCACGGCAACTTGATTGGGGCGTTTATTCGCCCAATATTTTTATTTCGATTCAAGCAACAATTTTACAAGTAACGTTTCAATTTTACAAGTAAAGTCCCTTCATATTCAAATTGGGTCTTCGCATTCACTTTCATACAATAAAACCTTAATGGCGATCGTTAGCAGTCATTGAAAGTAAATTATCAGGATTTTGCTAAATCATTGCTTTTACATAACTTTAATAGCGTTTAAATTCAGATCGCAATAAACTCGGTTTAATAGCCTGTATTGAAGCCCTGCATTTGGGTTCAATGCATTTCGTTAATCGGCTTAAATAACGAGACAAGTTTAACAAGTCTAAATAATATTTATATGAAATTTCGTGCGTGCGAATTATGCTGTGTGCATCTAACATTCGCTCGAACGCTGAAGGAAACCCAAGTCGACGGGGTGTGTCAGGCACAGGAGGCTGATCACCTACTTGCCTATTTGATTGAAAAATGATCATGAAATAGATACAGAAATCTGCCCAGACCTTAAAAGGTTGTAGCGCCACTTATATCTTCTTCTTCTTCATATCCGGTACACCATTGATAGAGCGGTCGTAATCGCTATGTAGTAGTAGTATTAGAAGGGACAGATGTGATGTGCTTCACGACGTTTCTCCACCATTGCCTATTAGAGCTCATCCTGCTGCACTTATTGAGTGAACCTTCTACGGCAGACATGATCTGGTCAGTCCAACGCGTAGGTGACCTTCCGTCTAGTGTCTACCTTCCCTTGGACGACAAGGTGTTCTATGGACTGTTCACCACGCCGAGATACGTGTCCGAAGAATGTAAGGATGCGAGATTGTACTGTTGAGAACAGATGCTTAATACCGAGTTCTAGACGTATCGAGACGTTTATACGAAATTCGGTTCACCAAACCCCAATCATTTTCCCCAGCATCACATTTCCAGAGCGTCTCTCTGCCTTTCCACATCTCTCAAGGTCCACATTTCAGCTGCGTATAGAAATATGGGGAATATAAGTGTCTTCACGAGCCTGGTCTTCGTGGCTTTTGTTATATTTCTGTTTCTCCATATTTTTCGCATCTTATTTATTTATATAGAAATACTAGCTGACCCGGCAAACGTTGTTTTGCCATGTATATTATTTCTAGGAAACATTTTTTTAGTTCAATAAAAATAACTATCTATAATAATAAAAATAGGGGTTGATCGTAGAGGGTTGAAAATTTGGTGTAAAAATCTCTAAAAAATAAAAATTTTGGTGTGGACACCCCTTATCACTTAGGGGTTTGAAAGATAGATAGTAGACGATTCTCAGACTTACTGAATATGCATAACAAAAATCATAAGAATCGGTTGAGCCGTATCGGAGGTGTATAGGAACGAAGATTGTGACACGAGAATTTTATATATTAGATATGGTCAATAGTAGGTTCAAATGTGTCAACCTATCATTGAATAACACGTGAAGCAAATCGCGGTTACATTATTTCGTCATGTTTATTTTGGCATAAAAAACAATTGTTAAAAATGGGATGTCAATGCCCTCATTAAGCATCTTAACGGTAGCGGCGGGTAATTTATTTTCTCAAGAGATGCGGAAAGGACAATGCTTTAAAACTTCACGTGTATTGATTAAATATTTGTTTCTTTAATGGTTTAGTACAGCGGAGCTAAATAAAGTGTTGAGTACTTAAAGTAAAGATAATATTTTCGTACATAATAGGTTAGTCAAAATCGCGTCTTAAGCGGGATACGGAAATAGATGTATGATATGAGAAAAATACCGGTTCTTTGGAAGTTTTTTTTTTATAGAACAGGGGGAAAATGGGCAGGAGACTGGCCTGATGTGATACCATGGACACTCTCAATGCCAGAAAGCTCGTGAGTGTGTTGTCGGCCTTTTAAGAATTGGAACGCTCTTTTCTTGAAGGACCCTAAGTCGAATTGGTTCGGAAATACTTAAGTGGGCAGCTGGTTCCACATAGTGGTGGTGTGCGGCAAAAGCTATCTTAATAACGCTCAGTTGTGGACGTCGTGGTGATACGGGTGGAATTTCGTATTCTGCCTCGACGTCCGATGATGATGAAGTTTATATATAAAACGCTATATATATAATATAACAAATAAATGAAATAATTCCTATATTTTTGTACCGCGTGATCCGGAGATTGCCCTGGTTAGGACTATATCGAAATTTCATATTAAAACTTCTGATTCAGTATTGTCGTGGGAAATTATTTATTTTGTATTCCTACACCTAACTTAAATGATATACAACAAAAAACATATAGCCAAAGATGGAACATATAATATACAAAAAGGTTCAAATATTTACGAAAGGAAAAAATCAATATTATTAAATAGATACGTAATACCTAATTCGGCTGTTCTGTGTGATGGTGTGTATGTGGGGTGTTCTTATGATGCAGGTGATTTACCGCTATGGATATTCTTAATACTCCTTTTAACCATATTCCGCGATAGCTTAAACAAGTAAAGATTTTGGTCGTTGTATATCCGGGCTGCGCGATACAAAACTGA